TATATATTGGATTTGGAACTATATCTTTTACACCTGGCGGATCAGCACACCTCATCACCGCCAATTCATGTGGGACTTCTTTCTATGGTGTCAATGGCTGTAAATCACTCCGCTACTATTGACAAGAATATGGCGACCCGATAGCGCCGCTTGTGTTGTTCCCCGTGGATTTTTACCTGTATTTGGATTTTTACCGTTGTGAACTTTTATTTTACTTTTTATCATTTTGAAGAGGATTTTTTGCCAAAATAAGGTATGTTTTTATTTGATTATTCTGTTAATTAAATCATAAATACTGTCGAAAGTACAGGTATACCAAAAAGCGACACGACTAATCACAGGTGAGTAAACAGGGAGTGACGTCACAGACGGGAAACTTTACATTTACTACTAGAGGAGATATTTATTTTTCTATATTTATTATCTATTATTTTATTGTTTTTAATCAACAAAAAGATAAATTTGATCTATTTATGTATGTTATAACATTGCCAGCATTGCAGCAACGTTTGGTACCTGTGTTATTGATTTGATGCATGCCGTGCATGTGTTTGCACTTGCTTTGTCAGTTGTGACTAATTTCGACATGTTTGGGTTTTTTTTCGATTGTTATTATATAGCCATAGAAGCATGATCGAAATGTAGATTTGATAAAACAAACGTTAGTTTTCAAACAAATTTTGTTTCTCTTACGGCTAACCATCAGATGGATAATTGCTACAAAGCTACGCATCTGTTGACAAAAGGTGTCGATTTTAATTAGCCTTTGATGACGCCGTTCATTGATAGACGTGACATAATTTTATTTTTAATACTAATGAAGGTGTTATAATATACAATAGATAATATAAACAGGAAGAAAGGTCTAAATCTCTATACAAGGAGATAATCTTTTGAAGTATTTTGGCTGTTCTTTTAGTGTGACGTAATGGATTACAAGATAAAAGAAAGATATGCAGATATTATTTTGATGGGCGGAACTCTTTGATAATCCATAAAAGAAATATTACAAGCTATTTTTTCATACCCAAGGGACAATGTATTGCAACTTTTTGTGCATAATCATGTTTTATTGACAAGATGTTAATCTTAAAAGATTTTTCAAAAGGGGTTTGACCTATATTTTATTTATCTATTTTTTTTTATTTTACAAACCAAAGAAAGAGTTTGAATATTTGATGAAATGTATATTCACACCTACTTGATGTTTTGGCAGGAGAACAATACCTACTTGATGTACCTGCTGTTGATAATTGCCAGGTAGATTAACTAGTGACACCTGTCCATTACATGTTAATGAGTAGTCAAACTGGATACCTACATGCAGGGCTACTTAATTGACAAGTCTGAGAGAAAAAAAAAATTAGACTTGCTGTTTAAAATATTTCTATATATATATAACTAAGAACAGTAGGTGATATATGTGAATCATCTGATGTTAGATAGGTATATTCATTTGTGCTTGTAATGAAGTGTATATTTTTAAACTAATTATTTTCTCAAATTGTTGTTAAAAAAATTTACTACCTAATTACGAAAATGAATCTAAAGTTTTATTTAAAAATTAATTAAAAAAAATAAAGAGATTAAATGTCTTAACTAAACTTCAGAAAACGACCAGAAATGTCCAAGTACATAATGGAAAATGAAGGATGAAAAAGAGACTCAAAATTATTTAGCAACAAGAGGAGAAAAAAAAAACTAACGTACAAAAGCAAACAGGTTGACAAACTTTTTATTATTCTCAAATTACTATTGCACAGTGATGCTAAAGAAACATCAATGTGCAGGTGCTAAAATGTTGCCACTCTCACTTTTAAAATATCCATTTCAAGATCTAGGTAAACACTACATATCATGTATATCCAAATGTATATAGTGCGTACAATGTCTAGAGGAAGAACTCCCAAAAAGGTCAAATTCACGATACATCTTACTACATTGGGCAGGATGCCAACATAAAGGCCAGTGTACCGTAAGATGGGATTACAGCAAAACACATAAAAGTCTCTCTCATAACCTGGATTACCTTTTATGCAAAACTTGCCGGGTTTTCTTGTTCGCGAGAAGTGGGTGTTTTAGTTTGTTTTTTAGGCTTTGCTAGGTGTCAGGTTTTTGGTTAAATAGATTGTTTCAGATCAAGGGATCTCTCCACCCCTGTTTCTCAGAAAAGATTTATTGAACTAGTTCAGAATTTTCCCTCCAAAATCAGCAAAATGTGGTGAAGACACAATGTTATAAACTTAAAAATTAATTGTTGTTTGCGTTAATTCAAGTGCAAATATTACAATAAAAAAAAATCATATTTAGCTTGTTCTATTGAGATTTTTTTTTTATCAAATAATTAATTTCACTTAAATCTTCAAGAAGTAAAAAAATTGATCCCCTTGATGGTGAGTCATTCTTAAAATTAAAAGATGCACAATGCAGTGACATGCAGAAAAAGTGCAGATAATAGTAAAATCTAAACTTCTTGCTTAGATGATAAGGACACACATGTACTCTATGTTTCATTGAATCAGTCTGTATCCTATAAATTGTCTATATATATATATATATATGTCTGAAAAATACAAGTTTTCAACAAAATAAAACCAATGAAAAACAGAGTTCATGACTTTCTCTCAATTAAAAATTCATTCTTTTCAGTGCATGTTTGTTATGAAGTGTAGATTAAATCTTAAGCAAGGCGGGTGGTTTGTAGAATTTTCATTTTAGATTTGATTAATCATCCTCCGTAATCTTCGTGGAAAATCGTCTTTGCTAGTTTTCCTCCAAGCATCAGTACAAAAGAGGCTTTGGCTGTAAATATACATAAACAAAATTAAAATTCACTGAATCACAGTCATATAAAGGGAGGGTTTGCGATAGGCGGTTTTCATGCAGTATAACAAGCAAATACTTCCCGAAGACCTTTAAAATGGCTATTGATACAGAATCAAGCAAACTTTGCTAGTATGATTCAAACATGGGAATAGAATTGTTACACTTTTCAAGTTCTGTTTTACTAGTAATAAGTTGTAAGAGAATAACATTGATAAGTTAAGAAAACAATACTCTCCAAATACAAAGCTGTAAATTTAAATGCAGCATTAATTCTAAGAACCTAATACATGTACATTGGCTGATGCATTATATGATAATTTTGAAGAAATCAGGTACTGGTCTTTTGGATTAAGTTCTTTGTAATGGATTGGATAAAAAAATTAAATAAAGAAGCAGCTTTATAATGTTGATTTAAGAAGCAACCTTATTGGTAAAATAAATTTTGGTAAAGTCATTTAAACCCACTTCTAAAAGAGGGGAAGTCTTGCGATCTGAGTGAGTCACAAGCTGCACTGTGTTACCTTCCGCTAGGTAATCTTTGAGCTGTTTTTTTTTTTTTTTGTCTAATAGTGAGACTCGGACCTTTTTTTTAGTTTCAGGTTTGCTTTACCTGAGCCAAGACCAACTTCAGCACAATTTGTCAATTCAGATAACAAAATGAAATCTTACTGCAATTTAATTTTGTTTTCAAATGATTTTTAAAAAGTCCCTGCAATCAGAAGTTTATTTAAACAATTAATTTTATGAAAATTTATGAAAATATAGCAGAATGAATCAGTTATGTTTTAGGATTTTACACAATTTCCTTCTGTTAGTTTTAACCCATGAGCAAGAAGTTGCTTGGACCAGTGTACCCATTTGGAAGTGACCCTTATCTCCACCTCTGTCACCTGGATCTTTCAGGAGGGATTTGTCATTCTGAGATAACATAGAAATTTCCCCTGGGTAGAAAAGACCAATATCTTTGTAGTGAAGATATGTTATCCCTTGTCAAATATTGAAACAGTACGCTATATCTGACCCGTATTAATTAATATTGTTTGTCTGTTTATTTAAGGGTCAAGCAATAAATTAAAAATAAAGCATTGGATTCTTGATAGTTGGATGAGTTTTCTCCCCCTGAATTTGAGCAACTATGGTTAGAGTTTTGCATTGTGAGAGAATTCAATGATTGTTCAGTATAATTTGTCAATGCATGACAATGACATTCTGAAACCCACCAGTAAAATTGTGAAAAAGGGAAATTAACAATCCACCTCTATTTTAAGGAATATTGATCTCTTTAGCATGATTAATTGCATTTACTTGAACACATCATTATGTCACTGCATAAAATACAAAAACTGTATGAAAAATTTACCATAGCAACAACCTTGAAGACAGGCACAACAAACATTGAGAAACTATTAATGGACATTATAGCCAACAAATGATTTCGCCAATAAATGTCATAGTCCATTGAGTAATAAAAGTTCTATTTATCAGACAAGAAAAGGGATCTTTATTGGAAATGTCTGGACTTGTGGACAATAGCCCTTAATTGTTGAGCCTTATTTCTTACAAGAAACTGCACAAAAATTTAACAGTATCTTCTCAACTCTCAAATTGCTTGATTCTGTTGTAGCATTAATATTGCTTAATCTTGTATACAAAACATAAAGTTGTTTGAAGTGTCCTTGTATTTTTAAGACCTAAGAATTTTAAGTTCATGTTAGGCTTACATTCCCGGAGGGTATAGGGGAAAATTCAATGTTTTTCTTCTCTACCTTGTATAATCAATTAGTACATGAACGAAGGATGATTCTTAAGAAAATCAATCTTGTATGAAATCTTGCAAAAATATTTTTTCAGTTGACAGTAGGAGGGTCAATATTGAAACAGGAACAAAACTGTCTTTAAAGAGATTTTATCCTTCTTCCCTTTGAGGTCAATGAAAAACTAGAAATAAGGGGGAAAATTAAAAAAAAAACCTGGTCTGATTATCTTAAAAAGGACGCTATGCAGGAAAATAATTTTTCCAAAAAGAAAAAAAAATTAAATCAAGAGACAAAATGCTTATTTTATCATGTTTGAAAAAAAGTAATGCAGGCATGCATAATGATTATATTTAGAAATAATACATTTGTAATAAGGAAAATAACAATTTTCAATTTTTTCTAGATTTTAGAAAAAAAATGAAGATATCATCAATTGTGAAGTGATTATAACAATGGAAGGCCCAAAGACATTTCCCCCTGGGAACCGTCCCCAGAACCATAATCATCTCCCACCCCCCACCAATTGGTACGACACTCTAGACAGGAATGCTAACATCTCCCTCAGCTCCAAAGGTCTGCGCAACGCCCCTGGTGAAAACAATTGCTTCCTCAACAGTGCTGTTCAGGTGAGTGGATCTTTATATATATGTATTTGTATGTCAGGTAGGTATTACATACATGTATGTAGTTATAAGTTTACCTAATCTATGGAAAGGAGATTGAAGAGGAAGAAAGAGAACTGCTATTTACATTTTGTTTGTGTTTACAATTTGATATGGAGGAAGTCTGAGATAGGGTTCGTTTATGATACCAGACAGATACATATAGTACAGTTTGAATAGGTATAGATTATAAAACACTGACATCACAGGTTAGAATTGTTGACTTAGTAACCTACAACTTCAGGGTGGAGTGGAGCAAGGAAGTTTATGATTACAGATTGTGGATTTTCTGCATTAACATAATCATAAACATATATCCATATAGAGGTTCAATATTGCTCTCCCAAACAGCCTGTACCAGAAACTATGAAAAATTTAGTGGATTATTGAAAGACCTGAGATCAGATTAAGATAGAATGCATAAAACATATATGTCTAGCAAGGGGATTTACTCTCATCAAATATGTAGGTATCTTTGATGGTTGTATGATTAGAAGATTAATCAGGCATTAATTCCCCTGACTGGAGAGTTAAGCCCCTTTATCTCAGTGGAATTCCTGTTAGGAGGAATAAAGCAGAATTATGTAAGATAATCTTATGAAAATATTGAGTAATTGTAGGATTTTCAGATGAAATGATGGGGCAAATCTATTGAATTCTAAGTGGAACTAAGTGAGATAATTGGAAGATTTTCAGAGATGGCAGCTTTACATATATTAAGAATATCTATCGGGGACATCAATAAAATCAAGGACATTTCAATGGCAGGTGCTTGAAAGGACTCATTTATTTATTTAAATAAATCCTGTGTTCTCCAAACTTTGGCAGTTATGTAATCCTGAAATTGACTATGTATGTAAGTTATTGTAATTAACATAGGTTACACCTGATGTCAGGAAACTTTAAAAGTTTACAAGTACCTGTAGTCAGACTAAATCTGTGTACACAACCACCGCAAAGAGGGAAAACAAAAAGTTACATGTTTAAGTCAAAATATCAACAGTCAACAAGTTTGCAGAGTTCAGAAGTGACCATTTTCACCTGACACCATGCTAGGAATTGCCATACGCTTGTTGACAAAAACCTAATGAGCAACCGCAAAGTCGCGATTTAACCCCCTACATCCAATCGGATATCTGGAATGGTGCCATCTGCAGTGTCATTGTATCCGGCGTATTGTTACCTATGCTTAGAGCTTCCAGACAATTGAAAGGTCGCCTGGACAACAGTTAATCGCGTGCACAGGTGAAAGCATTGAACAGACCTAGAATTGCAGCTAATCATTTGACACACTTGTTCGACCCAAATTTTAATTTTACAACTTTATGGGCAGATGGTCATCAAACTTTTCAACTTTTTCAGCTTGGGTTTCATGCTCAGTAATTTCTGTTTTGAGTTTCTGAAGTCTGTATTAATGCATCTCCTTCGGATGCTTTAACACTAATGCCATCAGAGATGTCACTGAACCTGTTAGAGTGATCAGTGTCGGCAAGATCCGAGACGATCTTTTGTGAGTTCCTCAGCTACCTGCGCTTCAGGTTTCGCCAAGGAACATTAGCCACAAAGGATGCTAAAATAATGAAAGGCTTCAGAAATCTGACAAAACATTAATAACATTAGGCTAGAATAAAGGGTCAAATGAAGTCTATGGAGAATTTCTTCTAAGTTTTTATTTGTTTGGTCAGACAAGACAGATGGAGGCAAAAAATAATTGTATGCAAACATTGGGAGTTCATCACATTTATTTGAGGTATATTTATTTAGATGAAACATTGATAGAATTTACTATTTGCTGGTCAGGGTAAAGATCCACTTTTTCTAGAAGAATTTTTTTTTTTTGCCAATTGTTCAAGATGTAGACACAAGCCAAAAAAGATAAAGGTTAAACCCTAAAACTTGGCAATATTGAATAACCTTAAAAAATACATTCCAGTGGAATTACATAGACTGCACAATTATGAAACAATATATTTTTTCTTTCTTTTGTGAGGACTGATAATATGATAATTGAATTTAGTAACTTCATGAGCGCCAAGGGCTTTCAATGATGACAACAATAGACAATAATGGTGCAGACACAGTTCGTGTCTATGAAAACTTCAGAAACAATTCAAATATGATAGTAGACAGATAATGTATTTATAAAGAATTTTAAAACTCATAAAGGGGGTTTTGACAATTTGTCAGCAATGGACAAAAGCTTGGGTAGAGAATTGAGTTATGTCCTTATATTTGGTCTCTTTAAAGTATTGTTAGAGGAACAGAAAGATATACCACAACACCTTAATCATAGGGGTATGCAAGGCATCGCTTAATTTGTCATAAAATTCATTTTCTTGCTAAATAAAACCACAGGGCCCCTTCTATCTTATTGCCTTTATAATAGCTAGGGTATGCATGAGCTAATAATATGTCAACCCAATTAACCGTGATGGATGTTAGATGGTACGTGATTTCGAATAAAGTACATTCATTTTGAGTCTGATATGACACATTCCTGTTAGTATTACACAATAAGGAGTAAGTGATTATGGAATGTTAAACATCTACTTTATTTATCAATTTCTAATGGTGTGTTCATGTGTTTAATATTGCCTCAGATGCAGCAGTTAAATGAAGAAAAGTACTATGAAAGAGGATGTGTGTTTTATTTATGTCTCAATAAAAACCACGAGAAAAATCCTTTTAGCCACACTTCTCAAATGTTTATTTGCATACACTTTTCTGTGTAAAAAGAAAAATTGTAATAATGCTAAAAATACATTTTTATGGTCAAGTTTTTATTGTGTTCCCCATTACAAATTCAGATTTTGTCTTCCGTTCATGTTTACCTATCCTTGGAGGATATAGTATGACATATATAACTGATTTACATATATGGCCCCCTTTTAACAGGTAGCAACAGAGTTGTGCTGTGTGGTTTATTTAGATTGTAGATAGGGAACCAGAGGTAAGAAAAGGTAGATAAAATCGTGATAGATCTTGTGGAGCAAACACATCCATGGGGGACTCTCGTGCCACCTGACCCTTTATCTTTCCCTAACATTTGTCAAGATGGAAATCACAACAAGTGATTACAGATTTATATAGGTCTGGGTAGGAGCTATTTATCATTTTCTTTTAGTCTGAAATTTAATTTCTAGGTTTGAGGGGCTTATTTAAAGAAATAAACCTGCCCTTTTATAATTACTCATGAAATTTAGTACACTTTCTGAAAGAACATATGGACCCATTTGCTGAATTTCGTCTATAAGCATGAATAATTTCTGAGAAAAAATAAATGTCAATGTCTGCATAAAATCAAATTAAGGTGCAAATCTATAAGACACATTTTTAGCGGGGGAAGGAAAAATCATGCTGCACAATGCCCAGTGCATTGTCCCTAAACTGACCATTGAGGAACTTGTGACAGCTACTCATTGTCCATATTGAAAGGTTTGAGACACGAGCGGACTGTCACACCTGTTGCTTAGCTTTTGTTTGAGATTCAGCAGCTGCGATACTTGTGATTGGTAAAAGTGTTTACCTGGATGACTAAGTTAGGTGTATAGATCTCTCTGCCCAGGATTGTCATGGCTATTTACAGTGTGTTTAGTTTCCTAGGTAGTGTTTATAGTTTGTTTGGGAATTGATTCATCAATGATGGACTCATCGGGAGCATAATTAAGTATTATGCAAGGTCAAAATGTCATATTTCAAACAGAGTTTACAGGTGAGGAGATGTAAAATGATTGTGAAATGATACCTGGTACATAATATTTTATTGATCATATTTATTGATTTAGGTGAATGTCGCAGCATATACCTCGATGCTTGAATGCACAGAAAAAAAAAATAAATATGATATTTATCGTATTCTTGAAATATTTAACATTTTTAACAAGAGTAGTGACATTTTTTGATGAGGGATATGCCTGGTAGTGAAGGGACAGTTAATAAACTTGAGGATTATCTAGTCTTTGATCATCCACTGTCATGGAAGAAATGTATAGATGACACATTTGCTAGTGTTAATTTTCAACACCTTCTACACAATGCCCTGCCCTAGAGTCAACACTGGTTCTAAGACTCCTATGGGTGCAATTGTTAAATTGTAAAAAGAAAGGTATACTCTGACCTCAAGCAATATACTATTGATCTTTAGTGAGAAAAGTCCATACAGAATTTATATCTCTCCAGATACTTGCTAATTAGATCAAACACCTTGCAATGTCAAGTGATGGGTACATTCAAAGGAGTAAAAACACCTATAGTACTAAAAATTTCTATAGGTATTCTGATCATGAACAAACTTGACATATAAAATTCTCAGAGCTATTTGATATCCTTTCAGATGGCTAACTTATGGCAGGGTAGCTTCCAGTGGGACTTGTTTTGTATGCTGGGTAGATTTGTCATAAATTGTAACAACCTTCAGTATTGGTGACAGGGTGCTTCATATTTATGTAGAAGTACCCTGGTTAGAGGAATGTTTCCATGGTATTATATTAAGTTATGATGTTCACCCGCTACATATATATCAAGTAATCAACCTGTTTCAGTTGCGGGTTTTCCAGATTAAGAAATGGATTACTGTTTGATATTACAGTAAAAATTTCTTGCACTTGAAAAAAGAACACAACTTTAAAAACATATTCAGAAAAGGGTCATTGCTCAAAGCATCTTTAGAGAATTTCACAAGTAAAAACAAATTACAGGTGAAACACTTTTTCCCATAGGAAAAAAAGATATAATTATGAAACCCAGCAGACATGATGGAGGCAATTTGAAAATGATGTAATTGCAGAGGGTCGTATCCTCAAAGAGGTTACTTTTGTGGAGAAGCACCATAATGGACTCATCGGACCAGAAAAGTGCACCCTCAATTGTCTGAAGAGTTAGGAACATCTAGCTAGGATCACTTAAATTTCACTTTATTGGGTAAACAGCTAACTGTTCTGTGGGACCCTGCAGAGATGTTAACAGTTTTTCAAGTCCTAGACTATATCTACTTCATTACGTCTGGAACGTTTAACACAAGATCATTGCCAGGGGCCATAACACTTTTTTTTTTACTACGGTGGGTCTAAAAGTGGACCACACTGGCATTAAAATGGAGATCTTTGGGAGCCTGTTACTCATATCCTTACTGTAAGGCTAAATGACATAGACATATGGGTGTAAATGTTAATAAATTTTAATGATATCTATTGGGAAGGAAATTTTTTAAAGGAAGTTGAAACTGTTGTATTTGCAAATATTAGTCTGGATTTTTTTTTTGGCATGTGGAACTGTAAAGAGTGTGTGTCACTGGTACATCTGTCATTAAGAAAAACATTTGTAAAACACTAACTAGTACAAATTGTCCATAATGGAAAACAAGGTGCCTCCCCCAACCTAAGCAACAGAACATGACAATGCAGGCATGTTGTACATGTTTTGAGTCATAAAAAAAATCATAAATGACATTAGGAACAAGAACCAATTATTAGAACAAAAAAAGCATAAACTAGTTCCATGTCTGATGTAAAAAAAAAGGGGGGGGGGGAGAGAGAGAAGGGATCAAGAGTTCTTTAAAAAATAAATTCCTTGATGCTGCTCTTATACCCAAATCTAGTACATGTACTTTAAATGTTTAATATGTTGCTTAATATGTTTCATTAAAAAGTTGTGCTTTCATCTATTTAGTCATGCTATATTTGATGTGTTATTGGCATATTGTTGTTTGTTATCAAGATTTTCCCACAGCATTTTATTTATAATTCAGTTGGTATCGTCATAAGATTTTCACAGGTGTCTGTAACATATATTGGGTTCTTAAAGGAGAAAGGTCTGGTACACCTTCAAATGGCAGATAAATTGTGACACCTTAGACATTTCTGTAACATGTTGCATTTTACTAATCACCTCTCTCTCTCTGCTTTATGTTTCCCAAGGGAGATAAACCTGAAACAAGGGAGATAACTTGTGTCAACTAAGTAAAACATGGGGACATTTGACTGTGTATTGTGATAATGAAGGGACAATTTCTCTCTATATCACACAGGGAGAGATAACAGAACTTTTACCCCCTTTATCATCTGACAAAGTGCACTGAAGTATCCTAAGTACACACTCCAGTGAAATAACATTTCACCAGAGTGCCATCCAAACTGGCAATACAAGACTGTTAAATAGCTGACTTTCCTGGTCATTCCTGGAGTTTATATACACTAAAACTGAGTCATTGGGTATGGCATGAATCATATTGTCCTTGAAAAATCAAAAGTGCCCCAGTTATCCTGACATTGTCATTTACTATACACTGGAGTGTTTGCAAAAAGAATAAGGTGATTCTGAAACTAAGTGACCTTGATGGCTCAGCAAAATTCATATTTCATTCAATTTACTTTCCTCAGTGGAATGCCTGAATATTAATTAGTAAGTGGAAGCAAAACTCTACAAATTCATTCAGAAATTTAGTCTATTTATAGGAACTGACTATTGTCATATGAATGAAAATTCTTTTCTGATTTAATAGGTTGTACCAAAATGATGACATCGGTTTTCTGTCATAAAGGACAAAAATAAATGAGCGGAAATCCAGTATGATTTATGAATGAAAAGTTTGTCCTTGAGGTTGAAAGTGACCCATTTTCAAAAGTCCAAAAAAGGAAAAAGTGTTGGTGTGGATTTCCTGTGATCTCACCTGAGGACACCTGTAAAAATTACATGATAAACTCAATTGGTTCTGATTAACTTGCTCTGCCTTATCCCATGGATAGACAGCATTAAGCTAAAAGACATAAAAGAGAGGAAACAGACTCTCCTGATAGAATATTTGCTTAGGCTGAATAGATGTTTGTGCAATATTGTTGGCTCAAGGTCCCTATGTACACCTCTCTCAATGTTTGATTTTCGCCTTTATCTTTGAAAGTTTTCTGAAGAGATTCTTTGCTCTTGTTGGCTTTTGGGCTTGGTGTAAAATGCTGAGGATGGAGGGGCTCCAAAATGGAGGTTCAGAGGGTGCAAGGGGCAGAGCTTCTTGTGTCAGAGGATGAAAAGAGATGGAGCTCCTTGTGTCAGTAGTGCAAAGAGAATTTGTTACTACAGATGCTGAAAAAGAGAATATTTATAGGGTTTAAACCAAGTGGGACATTTCTTTAATTCAGTGAAATTAATTGAAAATTCTGAATAAATTAATACATCAGAGTCCCTTAATTTATTTTTCATAGTTGTTTGTCATGACAGAATGGGTATTATGTTTTAAATATAATGAATTGTCTTTGAACATTAACATGATGAACAATGTTTTATGTTCATTTCGTCAGCTGGGAAGTCATCTTGCTCCATTGATTTTTTGGTGTACTTGAGGTATAGTTTGTCCTCTTGTGTCAGATATTGATGGCTTCTTTTCATTTTACCTGAATGACACCAGACTTCTGATGTGCAATACAATCATTCCATCAATTATGGAAGACATATGTCTTCGTCCGTCTGCATCAGCAGTAGACCAAAGGGAAGATAATATTCTAAGAGTATTAACCACGCAGATCAATACCTTTTTTTCTTAACCATCATATCTTTATGAATTGATAGCTAGTGGTTTATCATGTTTTCATTATTGATATTTGGTAAATCAATGAAAATATTATAATACATTATGCAAGGCTTTTACAAATGTAAAACATATTTGTTTGATGTGTTATTTCAAATTGCATTTTGCTAATAAATATTAAATTTTATATTCCAGGTTTTCTGGCATTTAGATGTATTCCGTCGAAGTTATAGAAGACTTTCAGGTCATTTATGCATGGGAAATTCATGCATCTTCTGTGCTCTAAAGGTAAGCACTTTAATTAATGTTTTGAAAAAATAATGAGTTTAGTCATGTAGACTTTTAATGTATTCTCTGCATGTGCAGTGTGCAGGTGCCTGGAAGGCCGACAAATGTATTATTTAAGGATGAAATTGTCCTATTCAGAAGCTTTGTTTGCAGTTTTATAGGTAATCGTCCTCTGAGATAATTAAAAGGTAGACAAAAGAAATGGTCGTATTTCTCTGCAAGGGTAATTCTAACAGCCATTCAACCATTTACCACAAGATTAGGCGCAACATGCTATTACTCTTAATGAATTTCCTATCTTTACAATGCCACAGACTATTAGTAAGAGTTTTTAGTACAGCAATACCACAACATGCAATATAATGGCCAAAGCCAGCTTTGAATGGGCGATTTGTGGGCACTCTACAGACTTCTTATCTTATTATAATTCTGCTTATAAGCATTAAATCTCCATCCCCATAAAAGTTCTTTTGGGCCCCCGAAACAACACAAGTGTAAACCTGCCCAAGGTGAACAGGAACAAATATCCACTTAAGGATGAAAAAGACCGGTAGAAAAAACCAAATAAACACAAAAACCCCGTAGACAAAACAGACAAGAAAAGCAAACATTGAAAATCAATTTACAGGTCTGTGAAATGATTGCTAACTGTGTGCAGGTAATTGGTTAATCATTCGGCATATAAATTCGAGAAAAAAAAATAAATTTAAATTTCCTTCCACTTGCTGGCTCTAAACAATGGGACCTGTCTGACTTCTTTCAGTATGACATGCTGAAGTTGTTTAATGTCTGTTTTATAAACACTCAGGATACTCTATTTTTGTTTTCCTGCCATAGGTAAACATGTAAGTAAACAAAAGTAAAGAGTATAGCGTAGGTGTGCTAATCCAACGTAACATTACATTGAGTTCTTTGTGGTTCTGTGGAAGCACACCTGACTCATGCCGACTCATTAGTAAGGCTTTTATTCCTTTTGTTCAAGAGGTGGGAATCAATTACAAATCAGCGCATTCAAACAAAGCCGGGTTACATGTTTGATTGAGGAATCAGTGCTTTTCAACAATTAGAGACACACTCATGCAAAAAAGAGAATTTCATTTAAAAGTCACTAGAGTACTAAAAGATAGTACTTCTATTCCTTGTTTCGTCAATATTCTTAAAACTGTTGTTTTTTAATTTTTTTTATTTGTTTTGTTTTTGTTTTGTTTTTTTTTTTACTTTTCAGCTATCCTTGATTAGATTGCCACTTTAAAATAAAAACAACTTGATTAAATTCTTTTTAACTACCATCTCCTCTAAAGATTCGGTATAAGATAAGAAGAGATGTTTGACTTTGATCTTTGTTTTAAAACATCAGGTGTTTGGGAGATTTATGTCCCAGTTTGTGCAGTAAAAGTACAGTTATCTCCCCTAAAATCAGATCAGTTCTAAAGATTACATGTCCCATTTAGGAGAATTTTGGTATAATTTCTTGAGCAGGCCTAAAATGGGGGGTTTGTTGTTTGTTTTACCTTGAGCTTATCAATTTACAAAATCTTTCTTGACATTTTTACAAATCATTGCAGGGGATTTCTGTAGTGTCCTATCATAAACATTTCAGCAAAGTTAGACTAATGGACAAAAGGTTAAACACACAGAACTTCAGAATTTCTTTTAAGGAAGAATAAAATAACATCTGTGTAGTATAAAATAATCTACCCCTTAAGCTTTTAATCTTGCATTTAATGAATTTTCCTAATTGAGCTAGACAAGTAATGGATAGCCTTATCAAAATGAAATTGTAAAAGGAAAGCTAATTTTCAAGTCCATTAAAATGTTAACTGACCCATTGAAATGAATACCTGATAGGTGTTAAAAGTCCGCCATTAGGGTTTTGGAAGATAGGTACTTCTTTTGTGATTGGGCAGGTGAGATTTGAAGAACATACAGGTGTGGCTAATTCAAACAGATGGTCAGTTGCTGTGAGCTCAGAGCTGGATTTTTGAAAAAGACATTGAGAGCACTTGATTTCCATATACATTAGTTTCATGACAAGTGTCCACTCAGAAAAAATCAATTTACTTGAAAAAATACAAATTCAAAGGGTTCATGCATACATGATAAGATTTTCTCGTTTCCTTTGTCTTCTTTAACTTTCAGACAACTATTTATGGTGTTAGTTAAAGGTTTAATTAAATCCTCAGTTTAGAACAGCAATGTTCTCCATTTTAGGTGATTTTTACCCAGTTTCAGTATAGTGACCAGGCTTCCTTGCCTCCCGATGCCCTCCGCAGGGCTTTGGCCGACTCCTTTATGAACCAGCAGCGCTTCCAGCTAGGGCACATGGATGATGCTGCTGAATGTTTTGTGAGTATATATTAATAGCACTTCAAGAAAACCATCAGAGCACTCTTTCCACTGTCTTAAAATTAACTTTGCTTTTGAAACAGCAATTGTTAATACTGTTAAGGAACTTTTATTAGTGCGGGATTAATATCGCAAAGTATGCAGTCACAAATTTTAAGCAGAAATTTATCCAAGCATCCTTAAATAAAGATTACAGAATTTTTCTAAGCATGCAAGAAATCTGCCAAAATTTACCTATGCAGAATAAATTGATATTGTGATTTCACAGAATTATGATCCTGTAGAAAAAAATATGTTTACATTAATTTAATGTAACATATGTGTTTATCAATATCTTTCATATAGACTGGTCCAGTAAATTGCCTATCAGAATTTGTTGTGTAAAACAGAAATCTTTAATGAAAATATAGTTTTATACCAGATGTGGTGATGTTGACATGTACTTGTTCTTGCCATTGAGTCTCAAGTGCAGAGCAAACAGAAAGAGTCTGAGAAATCAAATAATTAAAGTTTGACAAAGCTTACAATATCTGAATCCAATATTTCAGGAAAATATTTTGAGGAGGATCCATTTTCATGTGGCCAATGCGTATCATGAGGACTCATGTTCAGCTCCTCATTGTTTGAGCCATCAGAAGTTCACCATGACTATTTTTGATCAGGTAAATTGAAACATGAAGCAGGACAACATTTACAGGTGTTTAATTAGATCCTTATCCATACGTGACAAGTACGACAGAGGCTGAAATATTAACATAGTGAGAGAAATTGATGCCTAGAGAATCAAGATGCAAATTTTCAGATGGGGCATCAATATTCTGAAAAATGAAACTTTACAGCTAAATTTACACCATCATTTCATTAAATAATAACTAAACCACACATTTTCAATAAAAAAGATCTTCATTGAAAACAAATTGTTGCAAGCACTGACACAGCTTCATGTGTCAGCAAAGAATATATTCAAATGTCATAGCGGGAAATGAATTTCAAAACAGTTTGTCTGAATATCATAACAATGGGCTGATTATGTTTTAAAGCCAACAGGATTATCGTTGTTCAAACTGTAAACTAGATTTGACTGTTTTACTTTCAGTTGGTTTGTGTCTGCGGTGCAAGTTCAGAGCCCCTGAGATTTCACGAGACGGTTCATTACATTACGACAAATGCACTAGTGTGAGTATAGGAAAACAAGCCCAATAGTTGTGGGGAGACACACATTACTCAATAACAAGAGCAAAACATGACGGAAAGTAACCACACAATATGATGGATTAGAAATTTTAAAGTGATAAACTGAAATTTCCGTTAAGACAGAATATTTTGTAATTGTTCAAAAATATGGGTTAGATTACAACCGAGCATTTACTCAACCCAGTGTGAAAAGCCTTTTTGACATGAAAAGATTCATGAAGTTAAATAATAATAATGATTTAGTAGTCTGAGTCACATTTTCCAATATTTTTGTAAGAGAAACTTGTCCCAGAGTTTTTCCTATTTCATTGATTTAAAAAATCTGTCAGTTTCTGTCAGATGAAGCTAAAAATATTGCATTTATGAAAAATATAGATTTTCCTTTCAACAATTTTAGAAGTAAAAACAAAGGAAAAATCATTTATTCCATTCATTTTAGGATAACATGATAGAACATTAATGTGACTAAATGTAAAGAAGTTTATGCAAATTGAACAAGTTGACTAACATTGAAGGTTGCACTTAATAAACATGAAACACCTGCAGCTATTGCAATTAGATTGAAAATCAGACATTTATGGAAATCTCCATTAGTTTGGTGTATTTTGCCGCATGTTAAGTAGGGAATATTAATGCCGACCAAGACCCAATTGGCTGCTAATACCTCAGGGTGTGACACTATCTTATTATTGATGGCAGGTCGCAGTATCGATCCATGCAAGAGACTGGGGACTTGATACATAACGACCGATTCGGACTATTGCTAAGGAACGGATGTGCACAGGGCGATATCAGAGACTGCCCGGTAAGTCTGTTAAATATAAGTAGGCAATTTTTTTGATATGATTTTAAAGCTGACTGTCCCGAGGGGAAGCATTAAATGGCCATTAATATTAATTAGCAATAGCATATCCTGTATGGGCAATTATGTGGTATAGTATGACAGTACCTGTACTATGGTGATTACTTGCAAAACTAGAGTTTTTCACAATTATTTCAATGCCATATGTTTCTTTATAAAATAGGAAAACCTGAGATACATTTTCATATTTATTGGGAATGTAAAAATTCCAATTTTTATTAACTTTTCTGTAATTGAATATCCTTAAATGTGAAAATGATTTATCTTTTAGGATAAAAATTAAAAGTTGATCATATTTATCCGAAAACTTGTGTAAATTGACTTGCTTTTACAATTTTGAGGTTTACACGTGAAATGTAGCAAACTTGTGGTAATAGGCTAATCTGTCTCAAAATAAAGCAAGCATGAAAATTTTTATGACAAGTGGATCAGGTTTATGAAGAGTCTAGTTAATGCAAGTAGATATTGGAAAATCTCAAATAACCTTTTAGTCCCCTTCAAGTAAGCGAAAGTTATCGTTGAGAGCATCGGCCCCTCTGGAGCAGAAGCAGATAATATTAATAAATCTTTGCAGAACTAATTAAAGCTTCACTGATAAATTGAAGAACAGACTGATAAATGGAAGGACAGCCTCTGATAAAAGGCACCTGAATGCTGTTCTCTGTTTTATGATTGAATGGATTTTCAGGTAGTGGAAGGGCTAATCTCCATATAATTATAATCTTTTTCTTGTTTCCAGGACAACTGTGGAAAGCGTGTCCAGATAAGGAAGACTCTGCTTAATTCCCCTGATGTCGGTGAGTTCATCTTCAGCTTCATCAAGCACAAATCGTAAAAGTCTGGTTTCATAGTAGAAGTCAGCCAGGTACAAGATGGAAGAAAGTCAGGCACTACTCAGACACCTATTGCAAATCAATAGCAGGTGTCTGCATGTGCTTCCTTGCATGGGCACAATCGAGATTGTGCCTTTGTATATTCAACTGATGAAAAAATATTTCAATTTAGCATCATCTTGCTGACTTTTTCAATCAAATTTATTGAGAATTGACAAATGTTAGATCAAAAAGTGACAAAATCTTGCCGTTTCAGTGAGTATTGGACTTGTATGGGATTCAGAGAGGCCAGAAACTTCAACCATCACAGATGTCTGCCGCTGTATTGGAACAACCATTTTACTGCAAGATGTAAGTTCACTTTCTGACTGTCAAATTTGAGTTATGGGGATATTTAATAGTCTAAGTCCAATCAATAGACAAATTTGTTAGTCTAGACTTTGTTATTATCTTTTCCTTTTCAATAAAAGTATTAAATGCATGACATTTAAAACAAAGAATTGACACATTTATGAAATACGAGAATAAAGCAAAAGGAAATAACCCATGATTACTACAATGAAAGGAATTTAAAATATTTGTCTTTTCTAATTGTTAAAAGAATCAGTTTTGTTGTCTTTTGTTTTAAAAAACGATTTCTGAAATTTCTTTTCAATAGCTCTTTCACTCTGTGATGTGTAAGGATGTCACAAAGTTGCCACGGTTACAGTTGTCTGCAGTTGTCTGTTACTATGGAAAGCATTATTCCACTTTTGTTTACGACACAAAGTCAAGTATTTGGAAATACTTTGATGATGCCACAGTAACGGAAGTAAGTATTGTCATTTAATGCAAAAGGGACTATAGGCTGTGAGAATCATGCTTTAAAAATGTTCTCTTCTTCAATTTCAAATGGGAATTTTTCGTGACCACAATTGCCAGCCTTTCCCAAGTTTAAACCTCAACTATTTATCAGTTATTATCTATAATTCAACACTTGGTATTGAAAAAAGCATTTCTTTATCTAGATGATTTAAATGATATCTGAACATGAGATGGGTATAGTGTTTATTTATAACGGACCAGGAAAAATAGCCTTATTATGTCCAACATATGGTTGTTAAAAGCCTAATAGCCGATGTTAAACACTTGTAAATGAATTCATCACCTTACTGATAGAAAAAAAAAATCATGGAAGAGGGTAATTATATTTTTTTTTTAATAATTAAAACTGACGTCAGGATACCAAGCAGATTTGATAGAGGATATACATTTTTCAATTTACTTCCCATGATCAAATTACAAGGGGTATATTTACATGTATTTTTGGGTCCATGCCTTTCATACATTTAAAAGGTGTTAAATTATCTACCTGGGATAGGTTTGAGGGCCATATACCACATCTTTTCTTTCTTTTCTCTTCAGACTAATATATTAGAAAGTGGAAAGTGAAGAAATTAAACCCTTTTCTAGTTTCTGGCACCTGTGTTTATTTCAGTATGGTCGACCTACACACACCTGGAAATGAGGACAACTCATTTCATGGTCAAAAAAATTTAATCATTCTTGAGCAAATAAGATATTTGTAGGCTTAAATGATTAAAGGTACTAAGAAAATGGTAAAGATTTCTATCCTTTAAAGTATTTGCCAAGAAAAATTAAAATATTCACTGAATTTCATCATGTACTTAATATTAATTGGATTTAAAATGTTGAATCTTTTATATATTATGTTGTTTTGTTTTAAAAATTGATAAATTGCTCTATTTCTTACTGCAACCACATTATTATGGTTATTGCACATTGTGGTGTTGAGTACTCATGAAAAGGGAATAAATGTCACTTTGACTGCTCTATTTGGTTGACAGAATCACTTCAGAAATCATCGAAGCAAGAGGAGCCATTTTATCTTGTCTAAAATAATGGGAACATATTGTTATCACCCCACCTGAATATCTTCCATAAGTGTACATCAAGATCTTTTATGGCAAAGCAAGACATTTTGAGGCATATTTCCAACCCAGGATCATATCATTTGAATAAATGATTTAATTATTATTGTTTTGTTTTTCAATAGATTGGACCAAAGTGGGAACACGTCGTTGATAAATGTTCACGAGGGCGCTATCAACCGCTATTGTTACTCTACACTAACCCCAACGCTAGTCCAATCTCCACCGATACCGCTCCCAAGAAAAGAGTTATGGCCCCTGGTTTTGGGACGCCCACCAAAGGTCAGTATTGTGCCCTTATCATGGTTCTGTGTTGGCTTTGGTCTACTTTATAATAAATGAGGGTTTCCCGAGTTTTATGGAGCATTTCGACCCATTTGTTATGTTTTATTGATCTTTTATAGTCTGATCTGAAATACAAATTGACCCTTTTAAAGTTCTTTTTGTTATCCACTATAAACAGAATTATATAGTATGAATGGTTTGTCTTTTTTTTTTCTTAAAAGCCATAATAGTATTATGTATTTCATTAATCAGCGAATAAAAGATTTTTAACGAGATTATGTTCAAAGTGTCACATGCAGGATTTATATAAATAATTCATTGAACACAGGTAATCACTCCTGTGGAGATTAATTAGAAATCAAGGGGCTGTTCAAAAAAAAAGGTTCCTATTAATCGATATGGCTTAAATTACTAAACGTATTGCTAGACAGAGAGTCTGGTGGAAATCTGCAACCTTAAATTAATATTACAAAGCCTTAATTGAAATGATACCTTTGATTTTAAATAATTAACAGCATTTGGCTTGTGTTGGGGTACAGGGAGAAAGTGCTTTCAGATTTAAATATTTCATAAGTATCAGTTAAATGTATGTAAAATTATATACTTTGGGGGCTTTTGAATGACATAGCATATGGTATTTGATTTCTGTGCTACATAAGTAACACCTGCCCTTGTGAAACTTGATAGGACTATTTGAGTAAAAACTACAGGCATTACCCCAATGCAAGATTTATAGTGAAACATTTAAATGCAATTACTCTTTTTTAAAAAAAGCACACACATAAAAATGCAACATTAGTACATGTAGCCATATTATTAATACCGGTAATGCACTTTACGTGTATGATACAGCATTTCCATCATCAGGTTTCCAATCTTGGATAATCAGATATATTTCAAGAAATGTCATTTGGATAGTAAAGTTGTAAAATTCAGTGAACAGTGAATGAACACTAATGTATATTTCTTTGTTGTATATTTCTCCAGGTGATTTAAACAGCTGTTTACCTGTCAGCCATCATGCTTTGTGTGTTCTGTATCTTGACAGTTAGCACGATATTGCAATAGAAATTAGTTACTGTGGCTTAAAATGACAGTGTTTGTCTTTCGTGTGGTGATGTGTCACATGTTTAATATTAAACGAGTCTTATTTCATCTTGACACTGTCTTAATGAGACAGAATTCAATTTAACTAGGATCTTGACCTTATTGCTGTAATGAATGTGAAATGCTTTTTATTTTTCAAAATGTTTTTCCAGTGAGTAACTACCGGTAAAAAAAAAATTGAGAAACCTCTTTTCAGAATAATGGTTGAAATTCTTATAAATCATCATTTATTTTGGTATTCCTTTGTGAAGAATCATTGTCATTAGTTTAAGTGAGAAGTTTGATGTGATGAACAGGTTGATAGATAGGGATTGATGTCTTTAATCACTGAACCGCATCTATCCAAACTACACGACAGCTCAAGAAATAAAGAAGAACTCTCATCACAATTTTTTTACTAGTTACTCAAGCATCAGAGACAAACCATTAACATACTATAAACTTTGAATGAGTAATATACCACTTCCGGTGGCCTTGTAAATCAAGATTTCATTATTTGGTATTATACCTGTAATTTTGTCATTTTTACCTGTGCAGGTGTGACTGAGAAGGAGAGTCGACCAGACGGAGGCAAACAGTCACGGTCCAAGTCTTCGTCCATTGTGTCTCAGACCAGTGACCAAATCAATCCAAACAACCCCAGGGTCCACAATCCTGACCAGTATTCACCTGACGCGGATGGACCCAAACAACCTAGCTCTGAGCACAGAAGGCAACCTAGTTTTCTAATCGCAATAACAGGGAAGAATGGAAAAAAGGTTAATTCAGAGTATGCTGTGCCAGTAACTAATGCACCAATTAAGCAACCTCTTCCGGGAGGTCAAGTGAAGTCAGATCAGGCTTATCACCTTGACAACAGGTCAGTGTCACAGAGAGGCTTTGTCCAGCGTGAGGTCATAGAGGAGGATCAAGTGGATGGATATACTCTGTCCAATAGTGACCAGTATAGGCGTCCATCACTTAATGCTCCAGAGGGAAATTCCAAGTATACAGCATTGAACTTTAATAGGGTCAGTGAAGTCCAAAGGAAAGAGAGCTTGAAGAAAGGGAAGGGTAAAGTAGGAGTGGATGTGATTCGATATCAGGTGGATCCCCAGAGGTCCTCTTCTGATTCAGACTCTCAAGGATACAGTGATACTGGTGCATCTACTCCACCCTCCCTCCCACCCAAAAGACTGACCCATTCACAGAGTTATGAGGAGTCACCAGCTAATCTCTCAGCAGACCACATTGATGTTAGGCAGCATGTAGTGATGAAACCCAAGCCCAATGCAGCTCAGGCCCACAATTATGAAAATATTGACAATTTAATTCATACACCTGTGCAGTCTGGATTGGCTACATTACCAAGAAATAAAAAAGGCACTAGATCAAATTCGGGTAATCACTCCAGACAGGGTTCTATGACTGGAGACAATTCAAGACAATTTTCCACTTCTCACAGTCGTCAAAGTTCTACAAACACCCTTACAGAATCCTGCCACAGCAGGCAAAGTTCATCCAACACTCTGACAGAACATTCCCGCCAAAATTCCATGGTCAGTGAACATTCCGACATGCATTCCATGACCTCAAATGGTCAGACCTCGGAGACCAGTTCACGTCAGAATTCCACTGTCAGTCAGCATTCCGACATTATAAGCCAAGTCAACAGCAACCACATTTATCAGATGTCATCTGCACAATATCAAAGACAGAAGTCTGCACCAGTTATCATGAGTAACACTCAGAAACCAGGAGAGCCACAGAAGAAAGAGAAACCACCAAAACCAGCAAAACCAGAAAAGAAACTGGGAGTTTTAAAGAAGAAAAATAATGTTCCACAACAGGAGCAGCATGGTCCACCTCTGCCTGACAAGAAGAAATCCCTTTCACCTGACTCAAGTGAATATATTGATAGGAAAATGGTGGAAAATGTACTGAAGTACCAGACGAAGTTGTCTCGCCAAGGCTCAACCAACAGTAACATGAGCCAAACAAGTCAGAGCAGCAATACAAGTTTCGAGTCTGACAACTCGAGCATCAAAAACTCGTCAGAAACTCAGTTTGACAATTTGTCTCTGGAATCGCACAGGGACTCTGGTTATGGAAGCAGTGACAGGAATAGTTCAAGTTCCACAGGAAGTTCAACACTGGATCCATATACCCAGTATTTCCTCAACAAGAGCATGATTCCTCCAAAGACTTTCAACCCACAGGCTGTGGCTGAAAACATGAGGAAATTTATTGACCCAAACTACCAAGAACCTAAAACAGTGATGTCTCAATACGAACATCATAATAATTATAGTGCTAATAATAATGGACCTTCAAATGGACCAAAAGGAGGAGGGTATATGAACCACCCAGTAGCATCAGAGAAGGGGAAACCATTTCATCCAGTTGTGGATGGTTTTGGAAATCCTATTGAACAGTCCAGGCAGCTTTATGACCCGGCCATCGTTCGTTCACACCAGGGCAAAGGTAAGACCCTTAATTCCAGTAAATGTGCTTGTAATTTGGTGTCTCTATGAACAGGAGAAAAAAGTCTTTGATGTGATGAAAAATTTTCATTTTCCAAATAGAATTTTAAGTGGGTCTTTAAAGTCTTCTTATCCAAATGAGATGTTAAAATCTGATACTTGGATATTGATGATGCTTGTGGGATGCCGAAATTAAAGTTCCTGGCCACGCGAGAGTCATTGTCAAGTTTTGGCCTGTGTCCAGACTCGTAGTATTGGTGTTCACTCATGTGGAACCAATGTCCCCGAGTCCAGGAGATCTGTGTTGTCTGTGTAAAATTCAACAAACAGGATCACAGTGTATTGCAGCTTTTAAAATTTACAAAGGGATAAGTACCTCCACGGGGGCCCTATATCATTTACAGATTTAGGTTAGATCAATATTTTGTTGTACTCGATGAAGCGCTTCTTAGGATTTTCCTGCTTTTTTTTCTATAGCGGGTATAGAAACTAGAGCTTAAAGAACCCAGATGTAAAGTAAACAGTGACATTTAATGAGTTCTGTCTCCACAATGATAAATCTTCTTTCTTCAATACAGTTATAAGATGATTAAGAGACAATAAAGACAGGGGTTAGGTCTTAATCAGTCCGCAATATCTATATTGTCAATAATTCCACTTGTCTGCCTACGTATGTATTCCTACTCTTTATCCCTCAGGCTTTATGAGTAGTAATGTTGATTGTATTTTTGATTTGATTTACAGATATGAATACACACCCCAATTATAATTACGATGGTCACTACAGTCATTCCAATAATCACCCTGCGTCAGGAAGTTCTAGTTACCACCCTCCAGAAAATGGACAAGCAAAAGCCCTTGAAGGTGAAATTGCATTTCTAGAAATAGATAACAATCAAAGAATTTAGTGACTTCACTGACTTGAATGCCTATGTGATTATAAAGGAATGTATGTTATTCGTATTAGCTGATGTACATGTAGTTATGTGTATGCCTCAGTGTCAGTCAAAATTAACCCTATGAGGCCTTCTTTCAGTTATTTAACATGCTCACTCCCCATTTTTTCTTTGAACTTGACTTCTTAATTATTTTATGCTTCATAAAGCACCCACAATGGGGAGAAAATTATTTTCTTTTTATCAGATAAAAATAAGGTAGAGAATGGTTTGTGCTGGACTCATTTCCGTGATGAAATTTTAATGCAAAGTCACCATTGAAATTGTTAAAAAAAGTGAAATGAGAAATAATTTTCTTAACAATGAAGCTGAACATGGCAATACCCAAGTTCTATTTGAATGCTCATACATGACTTGAAAGGTTAATTAAATTACATTGATATGGAATCCACTGCATTCAGGGGTATATGTCCTTTCAGGAGACCAAGCTTCTTTGAGTGAGTTCACTAGTATTTACCAGGCCTCGGAAGATCTCATGGACCATTGTGTACTGGCTGAGACCAATGGAAATTTCCAAGAGGCCATAAGGCACTGCTCTCAAGCCATAGGTAAAAAAGGAACACAAATTAGTTTATTTTAAACACAAAATTATCAACTTGCCAAAAAATAAAGAAGAAAAATCACCACCAAAGAAGAACGGGTGTATCAAAATAGTTTCATTAAGTAACATCAACACATATTTCTTTCGAAGTCTTATATTATCACTTGTGAAAGAGAAATTGATTGAAAGATATTGTTTCTGTTGCAGAGTGCCTAAAAAAGGCAATAAAGATTCCTAATTTGCCTCACCAGTCGTATACTTATGGTCAGAAAAAACACAACTCATGTCTTCTGAAGGTTCGAAGTCTGCAAAAGAAGGCGGCCATGATGAGGCAGGAATCCAACTCATCCAGCACAAGTTCAGATAGTGCTCGTTCATCACCTCTTATTGTCAATAGGTAAGAAACAACCTAAAACTGACATAATATTCTCATAACAGACAAAAACTCTTCATGGTCTACTTAATGTTAATATTGTTACATATTTCTGTATAACAGTATGACCTTTCTTTTTCTTAAGTTATTCTTTTAGTATACAGACTTGCGTGTGTGTCTTTTATCTTTTCATCAGAGAGAAAGAAATTATCTTGTCTTCAGTGTTAAGGAAGAACTTTTTGTAACCTTATACCATTTATGTTAATTCTTTATGTTTCCTGAGGAATTTTCCTATTTATTTTAAGTACTTCCTCTTACTATATCCAATAACATGATAACAATGCTTGGGTGTATCATTTCTCTTATCATTTAATTTTTCCACTTTGCAGTAATAACTATTGTGAAGATGGCTCCAGTCGTAAGCCAGCTGGCAAACCTTCTGATCTCTGCATCAACCAGAATGTTGCAATGTTGCAGCAGACGGCTATCCACTCACGCTCAAGTTCAAGAGATTCAGTGGATAGTGTGATCGAAAACAAAAACTATCGTGGAGAAAGACCCAGCAGTGGAAGCTCCACAAACTCACAAAAACATGTGACCTGTAATTCTAGTCAAAATAGCAGATCATCAAGTAGTGATAGGACACTTAAGAGTAATTCAAACAGTTTAGATGTGTATGGGACACTTCCAAGAAAAGGGAAAGCAAATAATAAGACACAAAGTGGTACCAGCAATCAGCCAAAAGGTGTCGGTGAAAATCGAAATACAAGATCAATGACTCCAACCCCTTTAGATAGTAGTTCCACAGACTCTGAATCTCAATACCAGATGCAGATGCCTGCTAAAGCACAAATTGTCACAAATGTTGCAGAAATCAGGCCACTTCACAACAACTCTGGACCAATGAGAGCAGTCCACTCACAACCCAACATGTACCTCCATTACAGCACTACAACATCAAGGACCCCTGGGACAGTCCCCGAGGTTTGTAGTTCCCCTGCTGCTCAGCAGATGACAGCTAAGACTCAACCAGTGCTGCCACCCAAACCCAACCAGGCAACAGAAAAAACCACCTCTACATTTCCTCCCCCTAAAAAGGAAGGGAGTGTTGGGCCGTACCAGAAAACCATGACCTACAAGGCTGGTAAACCAGCCATTGCTTCTTCATTGCCATCCTCTGTTCAGTTCCATTCTGCTACTACTATCAGTAGTTCTAGGCGCCCCCTTAGTCGACACGCCAGCTTCAATCAGCAGCGCCCTACTTCTGAGGGCCGCACTTCTGTGTTCGGTACTCGGACACTGGAGAGATATGCTTCACAACCTGACTGTCAGAATCTTGCTTCTCTGCAACCTGACACAACAGGTACTAGCACCCTTCCTGTTTCTGTTGGTCCCTTTTGTCAATGAAAAAAAAAATTTCAATGATGAATAAATGTTAGATACTTTTCAATACAAATAAAAATGTAAAGTAAAGAAGCAAATTTTTAAGTATAGAAATTTCTGAAGGCCATAACATTTTATCTGAGTAGTATTTTTCCTCACTGATTTAAAAATAAGAGTATAATACTTCAAAACTATCTCGATTGCCTGTTGACGTAAATTTTAAAATTGAACAATGATTTTTAATAATCCCTTAATTTGATGATAAATGATTATAAAATTGAATGCCTAGTCAAGGTACCCATATTAATTGAAAATCACTCTTTAAATTCATGCGTTAGAAAATGTATTGAAATTTAATAAAAAGCAAAAGATTAAGTGCTCTTGATAGCTTCACTCCTGTCGAGATCCGTGGTCCCAAATCCCCAAAGCATTCATGATTAATTTAAAAACCTTGCTTAATCACAACTGCAGGCAACAAAATTTGACTTGAGTATCAACAGAGAATTAAAACTTTAAAAGTAACAGTATCTGTATTGTAAGATTTGTTTTTTGTGCAAGATTATCTCGGATCAGATTAGGAATATGTATGAGATATATCACATGCAATTTTGTTTTCTCTTTCCAAAACACCATTTTCACAAACAGTATCAAGAGCATTTCAAAATTCTCTATCAGAAAGGTTAATATATTAAATTATGGCCCATAGCCATAAATGTCCACAATTAAAAACAAAATCGGAAATTAATAGTTATTTTCACTTAGACTTCATTTTCATTTCCACCTTTTAATATTTAACAGATCTTTGAGCAGGTCAATAAAATTTTTCTTACATTAGACATTCATACTTTCATGATGCATTAACATTTCTGTAATTCACAAATATTGAAACACAGAATTCTAAAAGTAATTTGTTTTCACATCACCAGTATTAGCATTGTAATACCAATGACTTTTTCAATTTATAAAACTAATTAAAAAAAATAAAACTAATTTTCACTTAAACTAAATGATATCCAACAGAGAGGGATGTCCGGTGCAGTTTTCTCTGTTTGTAGATGGCTATGCATTATATATCGTACTGTCGCTGCATATGTACAGTTGTTTTTGTATTAAATACTAACATGGTTTCCATTTCTTTTTAACTTTGCCTTAGCAGACTGTGCTAATGTGGCTTGGAAAGATGTGACATCATCAGTAAGTAGCCAATGGTAGCTGTTGTGATGTGATTTCATTGGTTGTTTTCTGGCTTTTAACTTGGAAATGTGGGTTATCTCCCCTTGGCTGCTTTTTTTTCAGTTGTTGTGAGCTTAGTTAATGAAATTAAGTCATCGCCTGCACTTTTTTTGCTTGGAAAATGGGGCAATCTTTAGATTTCTTTTGTTCAATACTTGCTTTTTCATTTCTTCTTTTGCAGAGCAAAATGTCCTTTTTTCTTTAATGATTGTAATGAATAGTGTATTTAAAATGATATAAATTATAAAGTAATTATGTTTAAAGAAAAATAGGACAAGCTGTCAAAGAAAAAGTAATATATGACACGTTTTACATTATAAATGAGGTACTCTTTAATGACATTTTGCTCAAGTTAAAAGCCTTCCATCATTTTATTTCTGCTCCTACATAATTTACCTGTGGTTGGAATACAAATCAAGTCATTATGTAAATTTCCAGAAACATTATTTACTGTATTTTTGCATGAGTGACTTTGAATGATTTTTTTTCTGGCGCCATAACAGTTTCTGTTTACCAGTTCCTGAATTGGTAATTGTTGACACCGTGAAAAACGTGATACTGCATTTATTCTAATGTTACGTTTGCGGAGCTAGAACATTGTTCAGAACCTGTTGTTACTCTAAGACTAAGATGATATATCTGAAGTTATATCTCCAGCAGTCAAGACGGTAATCTGTTACCTTGGTGACCTAAAATACAAGGCTTGTCGAATTTTGTTACACCAAGGTGTAAATACTGAGATTGTGAGGCTAGACAAATAGGTCCTTTACATCACTTCAATTTTGTACACAGTGAAAAGGAACAAAAACACACAGAAGCTTCTTTGTTGGAGGGGTTAATTTGGGTCTCTGTAAATTTGTTCTCCTTTTTCTCCAATGTCATTTACCTTTCAGAAGATTTAACAACAAAGACTTGTATCATGCTTCCAGGGGCTTGAAGTCAATTATCAGATTGCTGCTACCAGTATAAAATTTAATTTTTAAATACACAGTAAACTTACTTGGTTTTGAACATTCTATTATATTTATAAGTTCATAAAGAAAGCAAGGTCAATAAAATAAGTGATAATATAGAAAAATTGTCATCTAATTTGCTGGTTGCCTTTTTCGTTAACTTGGTGACACCTGTACAAAAGCTGAACTCTCAAGTCTTGTAAACCTTTTCTTCTCTCTGAGATTAGAGTTGTGTCAATGCTGCTAATTATTGATGACTTTATCTGAACCCCTGCAAAGTTGTGTTTTATGCTCTGACACCCATTTCTAGACATGAATAAGTAGTTTCAGTGAGGGGAAATGAGAGGACAGGTATTAAACAATAAGATTTTTTTCTTTATGGAACTCAGGATGAATTGATAATCTTCTTGCTGAGTATAAGAACTATGTAGGAATATGTTCATTGATTAAGGATTTACTAGAAATGAGTTGGATGGTAAAGGGTTTACCAGGAATGAGTTGGATGGAGGAAGGCAATGATTGGTCATTTTCTGGACCCAGTTCACACATCATCATTCATCGGCAGATCATCAGCAAACATTCTCACTAGACGTGTTTGGTGTGGCACTGGAATTAGACTTAGCTTCATCTGCAAAATGATGTTTTGATATTAACTTTAATCTGATTAAATTTCATATTCCATTAATGTATGGTGCATGTAAATATCTAATTTTGAATTTAGTTAATGTTTTACTTTGAATATTGATGCTAATTTTTACATAGAATGAATGTAGTGGTAACTTTTAATGGGCTATATGAGGCTTTAATAATCTGAACTGACCAATATTTTGAAATTTCAGTTTCATTTTCTTAATTTTTAATGATTTTGTTTTATAGGAACAGCAATCCTTGCAGGGACACTATTCTAAAGAGGCAGTTGCAATTTGTTCCACTGGCAGTCCAACCACTCCCCAAGGATCCGCCACAGAGGAATCTTCAGAGGGAAATGAGGCCAGACCAAGTGTGCGAGATTTGGCATCTAGATTCGACGGTGTGACAGCCAACTGCAATCACACCATGAACTCTCACCCCATCAGCAATCCCCCAAACCCCCCTCCTCAACAAGGTCTTGCCATAAGACATAGAAGCAAGTCTGAGTCTGACTTTCGAAACATGCAGGAGGAACACCCAAAGTCTGTGCTCTCTAAGAAAAAGAAAAACAGGGGGAGCAAGCCAAGAAAGTCAGTAACTTTCTGTGACAATATAGCCCTCATCTCAGCTGCAGATTTGGACGAGTTTGGCTTTGTTCGGAATCCTGAAGAGTTCCATGCTGGATATGTGAGTGATGAGGAAGATCGACTTGGGGGACTCTCTAGAAGTGCATTTTCAGACAATGACCTTGAGGAGGGGGATAGTTCTGATTCTCCTGTAGAGATTTACTTGGGGGAGGACCCTTGTAACCTGTGCAGTAAAAGGGGGGTTGTTCCTGGACACACTTTGTGTGCCAAGTGTCAGCTCTACATGAGGCAATTTCAGACACAAACATAGCAATGAATTGCCATAGCTTCAAATGGTTATCCTGCAAAATATTGATATTGTGCTATTTTTTGTCTTTTTTGGGCAAAAAAGTTCATAAATTATTGTCAGCATTTTGTAAATTGGTATTTATATTCACTGATGGGGTGAATTTTTTTTTGTTTAATTGCATTAGCTAGTATACTGCCAAACTTGAATACTTGCAGCAATGCTATCTGTCTCGTACTTTTTTATTATTTGTTTTTTGAGATTTTTAGAAAAATATAAACTTGTCAAAAAACAGCAAATTGCCCTGAAACTTACTTGAAGACTCGTGAAGAGTAAACTAGTCAGTGTCTGTAAATGTATGAATATGCAACTGAAACATTCCATTGAATTTTCTGCTTTATTCTAGTATAACACAGTATGGACAATAAAGATTTTTTATGCACTAAAAATCTAATTGTAGTCCGTCCATCTGAATGTTATGTTTCTTAAGAATATCTTTTGGTATAAAAAGAAAAATATTTTTTAGTTCAAAACCTTGTTTTTTATGAAGAAAAATAATCAAAATTATAAAAAGAAAAGTGCATTTAATTTTTATCAGTGTTATATTCTACAAACTTTTATGTTTTGTGAGAGTATATTTTAGAAAAAAAATCATTTTATGGCATTTTTGTTTTTGATGTTATCCAGTTTTAAACTGCCATATCTTGTTTATAGATTTGATCTCATTGCCCTGGATCTGTGTTAAGTTCTCAGAACTGACCAATAAAAATGAAGATGCTTTTATAAATAGCAATATTTCAAATATTTCCCACTGTTTTGAGAAATTTTCAACAGACCAGGGGCTATACTTGTTAAGTTGTATATGTATAGTTTGTACATATCAAATTTGTTGTATATTATTCTGTGAAAATGCTGTCATATTCTAAACATAGATCATGCTTCATAAAGTATATACTGCTTATCATATGAAACAGAACATATCAAAATTTTCAATAAAAAATAAAAATAATGAATATAAAACTAGTGTTTGCATTGCGGATTACTGAGAAAGGTATATTAAGGAGACATAACTCTTATAAAGTCTACAAGCTGGGTGAAAGAGAGGTAACAAAAAAAAGGAGAAATATTTTAGCAAGGGAACCTAAATAAAGAAACATTTATATGTATGGTAGTACTTGAACAAGTCTCATGAGTTATTGTAATGAACAGATGAGTTGAGGGGCATACAAATAATTTAATAAAGCAATATGGTAACCTCGGCATAATATTTTATTACAATTTTCCCCCTCATTTAGGCAGGATAAAGGAGACTCTAGAGTAGCACAATATAATCTACTGCCACCAGAAACAGACACTAGAAATGAATAACAAGTTTTCCCTAGCCCAGTACTACTAAGCATAGACATATCTCTTTTATTTGTCCTTGTACTAGGCAAGGGGTTAATACAGTGATCGTGAATATCACCATTTTATTCTGTCGAATTTTGAGGCGTCTTTTAAATTTATTGTAAGGACTCTGAGAAACAAACTATGATAATTCAGGCACTTGACCTTTTAAGCACACAACAAAATTTCACGATATTTCATCACTACCCCCCCCCCCCTCCCCTCCTCAACACACACACCCCATACACAAGAGGTTCAGATTAAAGTTTGAGTTCATGTATTTTTTCACAGTGCAATTATACGTTTCTTTTTTCAAGAACAAGTTGGGATGAATTTCCAACTCGGTATGCATCAAAACAATATACAGCTGCATCTAAACCCCTTCTCTTTAAACCACCAATATATAATTGTAAAATAAGAAAAAGAAAACCAAAACCTTGGATGTCTAATGATATATCTCTACTAAAAAGAGAAGTCCGCAAACTTGGAAGAAGAATTCAAATGAATCCAAAAGATTGCAATTTATTACAGGCTTTCACAAATGCTAAACGAGAATTTAACAGAATGAAAAAGAAATCAAAACATGAATTTTATAAGACAGTAACTGACAACATCGACAACCTAAATCAGAACAATTCAAAAGATTTTTGGAAGGTCCTAAATAAAAATAAAATTAAGCAAAACTCAAATTCTTCCACTCCAGGACTTCAAGCACTTATGAATCACGATCAAAACTTACTGTGCTCTAAGGGCAATAACTCCTGTGAACATGTAGTTGAATCTGAAATACAGAAACTTACTCCCCTTGACTACCCTTTCACATACAGTGAAGTCAAGCTTGGCATTAAAAATCTAAAAACTGGTAAATCACCTGGACAAGACCTAATACTCAATGAATTTATTAAAAGTGGTTCAAGTACACTTCTAAATATATTAACAAAACTCTTTAATAAAATTCTTTTTTCTGGGGAAATACCCGAAGTCCGGAATTTGGTACAAATAACTTCTATTTATAAATCTGATGACCCATGTAACCCATCAAACTATAGAGGATTAAGTGTTACAAGCTGTATGGGTAAACTTTTTAATGGACTTTTACAATGCCGCCTAAATTCGTACTTGGAAACAAATGACCTTCTGAGTAATTATCAATTTGGATTCAGAAGAAACCACCGTACCACAGATAACATATTTATTTTAAAAACTCTTATAAATAAGTACTTAAAATATAAGAAACAAAACATTTATGCATGTTTTGTGGATTTTACCAAAGCCTTTGATACAGTTGATCGAACTTTAATGTTACACAAACTATACCAAAAGGGCATAGGTGGGAAATTTTACAATGTTATAAATAATATGTACTCAAACACTAAATATTGCTGTAAAGATGAATCTTGCTATAGTGAACATTTTATAGCTACACACAGGGTTAAACAAGGAGATAATCTTTCCCCAACACTTTTTAATATATTTATTGATGACTTCTACTCGCAGTTAGTTAATTATAACACAAACCCTCCTGAATTACAGAAAATTGATGTCGGACATTTATTCTTTGCAGATGACTTAATTCTCCTCTCTACTACTAAAGAAGGTCTCCAAAACTCAATAGACTGTCTCTCAGAATATCGCATAAAATCAAAATTGACTGTTAACCTTGATAAAACTAAAGCAATGATTTTCTCAAATAAGAAACCTTACACAGCTCAACATTGTTTTTATTATAATCATTCAATAGTTCATCTTGAACATGAATATAGATATCTGGGAATTATTTTTACTTATAATGGTAAACTTAAGTATGCAGCTGAACACCTAGCTAACCGTGCAAGAAAAGCTTTTTATGCAATGAAACACTCTTTACCATTTCATAATAACTTATCTGTAAAAACTCTTTTAAAACTATATTCTTCACTTATTGAACCTATCAATTTGTATGGTTCTGAGATATGGATTTCAGACTTTAATATTAATATAAACAATTGTGATCAACTACCTTTTGAAAAGATACAGCATTTAATATTTAAAGGCATCTTGGGTGTACAGAGAAAAGCTTCAAATTTAGCCATTAAATATGAGCTAGGAACACTTCCTATTTGTTGCAAAGCTTTCATCTCTATGTTTAAATATTACAAGAGACTAAAAAACCATAATAATAAAAATGGAATTAGAAATCAAATTCTTATTGCTGCTTTCTTAGAAGACGACATTCTATATAATAATGATGTAAAGGATAATTGGCAGAGTCAGATTGATAAATTAAAAAAGAAACTTAAACTTCCATCATTAGATATCACTGATAACACATTTAGCAGCTACTTGAAGAATTTCTACATAAAAAATGTTAATTTGCAACTTGAACATTGAATTCACCAAATGTGGTAAATTATTATTTTACAGTCAAATTAGAAAGAACTATGAATTACAAGATTACTTGAAATTTCCAATTAATAAATCTGTACGTTCTAAATTAACAAAACTGAGAATTTCTGCACACCCTTTAGAAATTGAAATAGGCAGATATTCAAAGCCTTGTATCCCAAAAGAATCTCGTTTTTGTCACTTTTGTAAAAATGTTGTAGAAAATGAAATACATTTCATATATGACTGTCCTATATATAAAGATTTGCGAAAAAAGTATTAACCTTTGAACATCTATAATTTAAATGATAACACGTTGAAGGAAAATCATTGTAAAGTACTTTGTAATCCTGACAATGCAGTTCATTCCAGAAGGCTATGCGAATTTTTACATGAATGTTTTGAATTGCGTTCTAAAAATAGAGCACAATAATATATATTTAATGCATTAATTAGTTTATCTCTGTCCATATTATACTGTTTATACTATTTGCATAATGATTATAAGTTGTAAACGTAGTTGACTTCACTGATTTGTACACTTGCATGTATGTATGTACATAGTATATGTTTTAGTAATCTGAAAACACACTGTATTTTTCATTTTGTTTGTAACATGGTTGTATGCCAACATGTTTGGTGAATCAATAAATTGAATTGAATTGAAAATTTGCTTATAGTTATACACGCCTATATATATACATGACAAACATTTGAACTTGGAGTTGAGTCCTAAACTTTTTCGCGATCGAACATATATGGCGAAAATAAACCGCGGGTTAATCCATGATGACAATACGATATCATATTTAACAGACCTGCAAAATATGTTTGATATGTTTGATTTTAATCCCAACAAATCCCTATTAAAAGGACAAGTTTGTCTGTCTGTCACAAAATTCTATTCCGGTCATAACTCTTATATGGCTGTATTATGTTGTTGTCCCTGTCTTTCAAGGGCCGGGGCCATGACCTATGATCAAGGTCATATATTAAAGGTCGAAGTCATTGATGTACGTTATGGTGTCAGTGTATCCCTGGAACTCTTCTTGAAGATATTCAAAGTTGTAGATGTGCTGCTAGCTGATGGTTGTAAGAAGTGACATGACCTTGATTTAAGGTTAAATCTTAAAGGTCAAGGTCTCCAGGCTATAGAATATGAAATCAAAAAGCATATTTAGCTAAGTCAATTATGTTAACCGTCTAGTGGTTTCACATGTCATTTTGTGTGTGTTAACACACTTGTTTTTACCGGTATACGTATTCATTCAGAGTAATTATCACTGTCGTCAAGGCTACAAAATGAATGGCAAGGTTATAACCGGGGAACGTGGCACCTGCTCTTAATTTATCTTTACGCCACGAAACAGATGCAGTTTGGTGTACTTGCAGTTTTAAAACGTTCATCCATTGAAAATACTAAACACTTTTTCTTTTTCAAGTAGAAAATTAAGACAAAACTCATAAAGAAAAAAAGAAAGTGAACTTTGTTAAATTTCTGTTGTATTTCAGCGAAATAAAACAGAGTTTTAAATCTAATGATTAGAGAAGCATTTTCCCTACTGTGAAAAGAAAGATAACTCTTATAGTTAAAATACTTCCTGTGACGCATGCGTAATTGAAATTGAATGAAGCTGAAAATAGAATGAACCATGGCATTGACAGGTAAAACATGTTAAATCTGTATTTAATTGTTTGAGACAATGGAACAATTCAGGATGTGTGATTTGAGAAGTTATTTTATCTGTTTTATGTGTTAGATGCTGTAGAAACTCTTTATCATTGTTAGTTAAGCCGTGAAACGATGACTGCTCTTTACACATTCACAGATTGTTACATGGTATACCGTTATATTTGCCTCGTATTACAGGGGTTTCAACGAAGTTTTCATATTTAATTTTCTCTCTCAATACTCAACATCGTGTTGCTGTTTGATTGTATTATTGATATGATTTATTACTGAATATACATCTGACAATATCAGATCCAAGTTAACACTGTCAGCGTCATTGTTTACACTGATACTGGTGTACTTCAAATCATAGGGACACAGAGAATTTATATCCAATATTCAAGGTTGTTTTCTTATCAAATGTTTTACATAAAACAAGGAAATGTCACAGCTGTGATGACACATTTTATTCATTTCTTTTTCTGATACGTTGATTTGAGGTAGGATTGGTGAATTGAGAGTATCAAAAATCTTTATTAAGGTCAAGATATGGTAAATAAAAGGAGCAATTTGAGAAATAAATTTCTTTTATGATGCTTTATCACTAAAGCTTGGTCAAATAAGGAGTATCAGGGCATATTTTGTAGGAAAACGATGAAAAATTATATTTTAAACTGTCATTTTCAATGAAAAATTAAGAAAGTCAATCATAAATAATTGGGAGTTTTTTTTCCATATCAGACAAAGGAAATGCATCCAGATTCAGAGGCATAGCTTCCATTGTGGCAATGAGGCAACTGCCTCACTAGATTTTTAACCACCACCACTTCCTCCCATAGTTAATAATACATTGCAGAAAATATCTTGTAAAAATTTTAATTTAAGCAATTCTATAATGTACATTCATACCATCAAGGTTTTGGCTCTACCGTCATTACTGAAAACTCCATGTAGGTAATAATTGGAAAAAAATAAAAATTGGTAAATGTTTGACAATTATAGTTTTGACAAAATAAAAACAAAGTTAAAAAAACGTGTATTCATCTTTAAATGTGTTACAAGTTTTAGTAAACATATTTATTAACTCTTTTACCATCGTTGGAAACCTGTGGTCAGTCTAGCTTCTCTTGCCTTGAGGGTTTCTGACGATGCTCTTTTAAATAATTTTACAATATGTGGTATCATATCCACACTATGAAACCGGTAAAATTATCTAAAATTCTGTGCAGGACAAGTCTGGTAAAACATCCAAATCCATATTCTGTCCGAAGGGGTGTGTGGTGCTCCCCCTCTACCCCCCCCCACCAGGTCCTGCCCTGGACCTACTTGGGGCCTAAGGCGGCCCCATACCCCTTGCCCCTATGGTTTTGCCTCACTAGAATTTTAAGTCAAGATACGCCCCTGAGATTGCTTACAGTCTCTCAGAAAATGGTAATTTGCATGTTCTAAGCCTCTTCTTTAAGATAAATGTAAAATGAATTTAGGTATCAGGATTACTTTTCACAAGATTTCAAATTGAATGCCATGAAAATACTTTATTTTCTACGGGAAAAAGAAAGAGAAAAAAAGAAAGTACAGAAAAAAGAAAGTTTAAATTGATTATGATGTCATAATGGATCTAGCACCAAAAAGACAGTCTAAAGTCATTTACTAGATCTTTACCTTAAACTTGTTCCTTTCCACATTACCTAATATACTTTATATTTAATTATAAGTTGTGTCATCCTGATTTGGGATGTCTGTAACACAACATTTTAATGACACTTTGCTATAGCAAATTTAGGAAATCTTTCCATGTATATATTTTCAACTCAAAAGTGCATAAGTGCCAATGTTTAAGTTAATGTTTACAGATTAAGTTGACTGGGCATGGCCAGGTGAATTTTCTGTGTCCCCTGCAGAGCAAAGTGACACTTAAGGACCACTTTGCCTGGCATCTGTCTATTGATCTTTATAAAATACCAAGGTTACGTACTTTTGACCTTGGACTTGACCAATGACCTATAGCTACTTTTCAAAATACAACATAGTGCCAAAATACACATATTGAAATTCTTTGACATTTGAGAGGTAGGTCTGTGCTATTTAGCCTGTGCACTGCTTGTTATAAGAAATTTTGAAAAGTCCATTTGACTAGACCTTTGACCAACTTTTTAAGAATACTCCGAATCCTGAATTCAACTTTTCTATGCCCACGTATCGAAGATTCGGGGGTATATAGTTTTTGCCCTGTCCGTCTGTCTGTCTGTCTGTCTGTCTGTTTGCCCACAAAAACTTTAACCTTGCCCTTAACTTTTGATTGGTTGGAGCTATGGCTTTCATATTTCATATGTGTATTCCTTATGACAAGACCTTTCTTTGGGTACCACCATATTTGACCTTGACCTTGGAGTTTGACCCAGTTTTGCAAAATTTTACCAAACTTTATCCTTGGCTATAACTTTTGAACAATTGGTGCTAGGGCTTTCATACTTCACATGTGTAATCTTTGTGACAAGACCTTTCTTTGGATACCAACAACTTTGACCTTTTGACCTTGACCTAGGAGTTTGACCTACTTTTTGAAAACTTTAACCTTGGCCATAACTTTTGAACAGTTAGTGCTAGGGTCTTCATACTTCACATAAGTAATCCTTACGACAAGACCCTTCTTTGGATACCAACAACTTTGACCCTATGACCTTGACCTTGGAGTTTGACCTACTTTTGGAAAACTTTAGCCTTTGTCATAACTTTTGAACGATTGGTGCTTCGCTTTCATATTTCATCTGTGTATTTCTTGGGAGAAGGCCTTTTCTTGGCACCATTAATTTTGACCATTTGACCCTGAAGTTTGACATACTTTTGAAAAAATGTTTATCTTTTCCATATCTATTCAGTGGTTGCTGCTAGGGCTTTCATATTTTACAGGTATATCCCTTGAAACAAGACCTTACTTTGCGTACCAACATATTTGATTTGCATTTTAGAATGTTAAACCTTTGCTATAAGTTGCCATACAGGAGCATCAGTATTTCACAAACACATCTTTTTTCTTTTGTGTTGCTTTTTTAATAACATGTCAAGGTTATATGGTCAGCTGTTGATTTTTCTGTTTCCTGTCATAACCAAGAAGTAAAGTGAATCATCCACATGGTACTTGAAAGGTTACTCCTCAAATTATTATGCACAAAACATACCCCACCTCTTCTCCCACCCCCCCCCCACCCCCCCACCCCCCCCCCCACCCCCCAAAAAATAGTAATAAAAAATAAAGAAATAATGACACCTCCATAAGAAGCTTTGTCAGAAATTAACACCCACCCCCTCTCCATCCCTCCCCCCCCCCCCCCCCCCCCCATTAAATAAATGATGACACTGTCAGGCACTGTTCATATAAAGACACACCAGTAGAATGGACTTCCCGGGATGAGAGATTTGCTGATTTCAGTGGATGTAGGTGACTCATGTTTGGTGGTATTGTAGCTGGCAGACCAGACTGTGTTAATTTAATTCTTTATCTGATATCAACAATTCAAATGCATTAAAACATGCTTAAATTGGCCGCGTACACATGTCAAAATGAAATAATGGGTCAGTATGTCTGGATAGAAATGATGTACACTGTACAGGTTAACTTTATAATACTGAATGTTTAGAACATAATGATCATGTACAGTTTAATAGAATTTAAGTTAGTGCAAATCACCTTTTTTTTCTCTGTCAATTTAAACCATCTCTGCACATGGATGTATCAGCCTTTTAATGATTTTGTTTTACTGCTAATGAGAAAATCATGTATAATATTGAATTGAAACTTGGAAAAACAGTGGCTTTCCTTTTTTCAAGGCCTCTATTTAATTGTGATGATATGGTTTTGTTCGAGTTAATACTGTGGAAGCAGTGTCCATGTTACAGTATAAAATCAGGAGAAACACAGAGTCAATGCTTTTATTGTACTGGGCTGTTTAACATATCATATATGGATCCACACATACACATATAAAGAAGAGGATTGTCAGTTTTAATTAATTACTGAGAAGAATGCAGGGAAATATCATGCATGGTTAAATTATAATTGTATGTATGTGTATTCAGTGTGCAGTTTCTCAAGGACAGGCATTTAATCAATGTACTTTTGACATTTCCTGAATGAGCATCTGGTAACAGATACAGCTCGTGTTAGAGGTGAATTTTTGGACAACAGGTGTTTGCACTGACTGTACATGATAATTGAACTATCATCAAGGAAGAGTATTTTTATTTAAAAAAAAAAAGCCATATGATATTAAGTTCCAAAAGTGTTTATTGATTGGGAAGTTGTGTTCAAATCGTGGACAGACATACATAACACTGGTACTATGGTAGGTAGCAACATTTTGGCTGCCATATGTTTTCTGTGAAAACACTTTAGCATGATAATGTATTCTTACTGCATTGACACATCTTAAATTTTGCAATACATCTCGGTAAAGTTTTTTTTTTTTGAGAAACACAACTTTTTTGACAAAAGAAAAAAATATTTGAATTGTCACTGATACTCTTGAAATATAGCCTCGAATCCTCTTAAATTTTGCTCATTCATCACAAGATCTGGTATTTGATGGCTTTGATAGGACAAAATCAAGTCTGTGTGTATGTGTATGGTTTTTTTTCTTCAAATGTATATATTTTTAAAATTGTGATTCTGTTTCATTGATTATACTCTGCATGTATATGGCACTCTGTACCCGGCAGCATGTTTTGGCTTTGGCATGTGGCATATATGTCAACTCTTCCGAGATTTAAAACAATAATATATGTAGTTGAAACGTGCATATACTAACTAGAAATTCTTTACAGGCTTTGTAACTAAAGATTTTCTTTTTATATGTTAATGTGTCAATAGATAATAATAGATAATGAAATCACAGAAAGTGTGATATAATTCTTGCACAGTTTTGTTAAGTGCGAATGGAATGTAAGTATTGTCGTTATATGTATGCGGATTGTGGGTTTTAGATTTACCATGGCCATTGTTCTTTGTACTGACTGTGGCACTACCGTGGAACAAAACATAAGGTCCATCTGTGTTCCTTCACGAAATTCAATCTCTTAATACTGTGTTTTAGATTAATATCTGTGAGACCAATGGTTGTTGAATTGTTTACCTGGTAATTGAATAAGTTTTGTAAATTGAAACTGGGCCTGTATTTGTTTCCTCTGTAGTTGGAAAATATACACCCCATATGTTATTCCGGCATACGGAGAAAAAGTACAAAATAAGGGAAATTATAATTGTACTGCAAATCAAATCATCAGGGCATTTCCTGCATTTATACCAGAAAAAAAATTAGGGTAAGCTATAAAAATGACGTTAACCGAGATGTTTCGATTTCTCTGAATTGTGCCATTTATTGTCAATTTAGCTGATGCATGTCTTTCCATCAGCATATGTACGTATTAAATGGCTGATAAGTGCTCATTCTGAACTGTAGGAAATTGTTGGAAAGCTCTAATTACTTGAAATACTGACCAAAAATTACTTATATATAGGAGAATAGGACACGTTTGTCATAGGACCAAGTAATATTCTGGGGATATCGTGTAACTTCTAGTATGATGTAGTAACCAGGGCCACTTGAAGAAGGAAGTGTGTAGGCTATTCAGTAGAAGGGGAACCTGATGAATTTTTTAAGTTGCTGTCATTGAGATGCTGTTGTGTCATATGTGGGTCACTGTAAATATTTACTCTTTAATCAAGTAATGAGTTGACATAGTTGACATATACTGTGAAAAAGTTGCATTTTTTGAGAAGACATCTGTAATTTAGCTTCACATCCAACAGAAAGGAAAAATTCGGAAAGGTAGATTTTGTGTAATATTTGTACATGTATGTTAGTGGATTTTTGTTATTTCTAAAAGCGTTTTAATTTGTATTTAGCAAAAAAAAAACAAAAAAAAAAAAAAACTAATGATAAATTTAAAGTTGTAGAAATCTAGAACTTAAAAGCAGTTGTTAACCACAGGAATGAAATTCCCAGAAGAATTGTTTATAATTCTTTCTTAATGAATAGCAATGAGGGTATATATTTCCACAAGCACTTTCAAATTAAGTGAGCCTAATGCACATGCCATGTCCTGCTGTTATGGTGTGCTGTTGAGGAATTTTCAAATTCTTGTAAACAGTAAAACTTCAGTAAAAGAAATGTTTTAGGGAGATGCAGTGGTTTTAATCTACAAACTTCTGATAATATATGTTAAAACTGTAACTAATGCTGCAAACTTCAAATTAAAATGAAAGCAAAGTTGTGAGAGAGAGAGGGAAATGTCAGCTATTATTAAACAAAAACATTCTTTTCTTTGTGCCGTGTCTTGTAAATACTGAGTATTTTTTTTTAAGTGAGCACACAGATCAGATTATAACTTTTTTTATGAAGTTATATTCATATTCAATTTTGGTTTCTATATTGACAAAGGGGAATAATTAAAAAGATGACTGCAGCAGAAAATATGAATATTTTCCTAAACAAGTTTTTTAAATTGCAATAGCTTCAGGGTAATGAAGTTGGATCATAATCACGAATAAAGCAATAAATTCGGCCATGGTGATCAGCGATGATTGTCTGTGATATTAACGAAACCGTCATTAGACAGATTTGTGCACACATTGATTCGACGTATCCTGTCTCCCATTTTGGTGTGAGAGCCAGAGATGATTATATCTGTTTCCTCGCACATGTCCATCTTTCTTCAGACATTGTTTTGTCAGTTTTCTCTCCAGTGACCCATGTATATTAAAGGGAAAAAAAATGAGCTTAGGGCATCGAGATGATTTTTTGCTATGGGGGGTAGTAATTAAATTTACATTTGATGCTTGCTCTGGGCTTCTTTCAGAATAATGGGTAATCAATTATTGCTGTTATGTAACATTAGTTCTTTTGATTTATTTCAGGGATTGGAAAACTGAAGAATTGCTCCAGAGGAAAGAAATGAAGTAAAGTATCGTTTGAATGTCGATTCTGTGGATCACGTCAAAATGAATTTACCAAGTAGTTTTGCTTTCGATTATGGATGAATGAATTGTGTGGAATAGTATATCTTCTTTAATGGCATATCATTGGCTGTGAATTCATTTAGACTTTTGTTTTGGTTGTGAACTTTCTTTTATTTATTTATTACTGGATTTTATTCTGTCGTAAACTATGTTTTTAAGACGTTATATTGAAAGGTTGAAGACCTCTTGCTTTCGACACAAGTCCAGGCCAATTTCTATAGTGCGGGTATTCATTGTTGTGATACTGTTTAGTCTTTTAACATTTTTCATACTTTCGTACAAACTGATGACCCCACGACATGTTCGCAAAATGCCACATCCACCAAAACCAAAGTTTCAGTGTCGAGTCGACAGGAAGTTGCAGTTTGCTCCAAGGGACCATAATTCCAGGGAAAACTTGCACATCAGTAAAAAAGTTCTTGTATTCGCTGAGTCGCAATATCCAAAACTGGTACGACAAATTACACAGACACTTGAGCTTGCTAGGTTCGAATATAAAATTGAAAGTACAGGTAAACATCTTCCACCCCTGACCCACCAGGACAAGGGCAGGTGGTCAGTTGTCATTTTTGAGAATTTGGAAGCATATTTATCAATGGACCAATGGAACAGGGAAATGATTGACAAATACTGTAAAGAATACAAAGTTGGCATGATTATTTTTGTACATTCAGCTGATGAGTTAGGGATAGATAGAGAAAAGGTCACAGGATTTCCTTTAATCTTACGTTACAACATGGGGCTAAGAGATTTCCATCTTAATGCATATTCTGAAATGTGGAGGATTGCAAGGCCAGGCGAGGTAATCGATGGTCCCCTGGCAGACGATGATTGGACTGTGTTTGAATATCATAACAACACTTACGAACCTCTCGCATATGCTAGAGCTGCACCCAACAAATTCGTGGAAGGTAACGAACAAGACAATTCCACGCTAGTGGCTTCAGTGCTGGACCTTGGCAAACATGATGGGATCAAGCGAGTTTATTTTGGAAACTCTCTGGGTTTTTGGTTACATCGTTTAATGATGGTGGATGCTCTGTCATACCTGTCTCATGGCAAGTTGAGTCTATCTCTGGATCGATACATACAGGTGGATGTGGACGATATTTTTGTCGGAATCACAGGGACCAGAATGACAGCCCCCGATGTGGAGGTAATTAAGTGGAATTTAAACAAAATTAAATATCAGTGAACAAAGCAGAGAACAATATCACACATCTGATAGCATCTGAAATTTTTCCTTCAGGTGCAACTAACCTTCATAAAAGAGAAAAAAAATAAGTGGGAATTCTTTATATAAACCTTGTTAATTGTCATAGTTAATCTTTAAATTGTTATCTTTTTGTTTGAATTTTCTGGAAAATTATTACAGATTAACCATATTGTTTGTGTAAGTCAATTTTTCCAAAGAAAAAGTTTCGTGCCCATTTTGCATTATGAATGGAAGCTATACATGACTTGAACTGCTTTACGGAGAAAATTTCAATTGAGTATGAATAATTTGACAGGCCATGGTGCAGGCACAGGAAAGACTACAAAAGAAGGTGCAAGGCTTTATGTTCAACATGGGATTTTCTGGGTATTATTTCCAAAAGGGAGATGATCAGGAAAATGAAGGAGATAAAAAGATATTGGGTAAATGTCAATCATTCACTGTTTTTCAATTGGTAACAATTATCTTCTGTAACATTTCATGATTGATTAAAGAAAAGAGCTTGAAAAAACTTAAGGTGAAATTCATCAATATTTCTATTCTCTTCGGTGTCGGATAATGTTTTCCATTGACTAAATTCAATCAATATTACTAGTGATTATTTTCATGAAAACTATTTCTCTTTATTTTAGAGTACAAGAACAAGTTCTGGTGGTTTGGACACATGTGGAAGCATGAACATTCTCATAAGTTTCAGCAAGAACGACTCGAGCAGTCCATGCTGAAAAACTACCAGTTTGCCAAGGTGCTTTATACATGAAACATGCGTGGTCCCCATGTTAATTCAAAACCATCAGAACTCATGAACAGTAGACCAGTTTTCAGAGAATTTGGAGACTATTTCAATGACAAAGAGCAAAATGTTACTATCAGAGAGTGCTACAATGAACATTTCTTATTTGAAAACTTTTAACATGAAAATTTGAAACAAATTAGTATTAACTAGAAGCAACTTTGGTTAGCAGATTTGTATGAATTTGATCAAAATATGTACAATAAGCTGTACACATCAATTGTTGTATTGCAACTTAGATTTACTGTGTATAAGATTTAAATGAATGCTGCTTTGCTATATCAGGAGAAGAACATTCCTGTGCACCACCAGTATGCGGTGGCCCCTCTCCATTCTGGTGTCTTTCCAATCCACGAAGAACTGTATACAGCCTGGAAGAATGTGTGGGACATCAGAGTGACCAGTACGGAGGAGTACCCCCGACTCCATCCCGCCTGGAGAAGGAGGGGCTTCATACACAGGGGCGTTATGGTAAGATGTCCAAACATAAATGACCATTAAATTTTGATATAAGGAACATACAAATACAATCAAACCTCATTATCTCAAAGTAAACGGGCTGAGAATAAACTTTTGAGATATCCAGTGGCTATAGATATTGAATTAAAGATGTTAAGAAAAAGTGGTGGGACTTCAAAGTTTCTTTTACATATCAATGGTATTTGATATTTGAGATATTGAAGATCAACTGTCCTTAGATTATTTGCTTACTTAATTTTTATTGAAAAATGAAATGGTTTGTGTTCACATTTTTTTTTTTTTATTATCAAGTTATTATTGTTATGAAGGAAAGTTGTAAATGTGATTTAAGGTTTTACTATTTTAAAGTTGTAATAGATCGCTTATGGTAAAAATGATGACATCTGTTAAGATTTCTTACTTTGGCAGTTTTCTTAAGTCTGTACAAATTATATTCCTTTGTTATGAGTTTTTGATCATTGTAAACAAACATGGTCATCATCAAGACAGGTTAGGATGCTGACATCAAATATACACCAGATATATTAAACAGAAAACACTTTTTGGTAGACAAAATAGGCAGTCAAATCAGTAACTTCTCTCAGTGCAAATATGCATGACATGGGTTTTTCAAGCTTCTAAGAATAACACTCATTTTGACATTTAAATAAAAGCATAAAGTATATCATTCTTCAAAATGACATAACAAATTTACATTTGTTTTGCCTTGTTTTGTCCAATTGTTATACCTTTAATGGGTTATCTAGAGAATTATAAGATTTTTATATTGTAATGTTTATAATTTAATGTAATCGTTATGTTCTTTGTTGACAGGTTCTACCTCGTCAGACATGTGGTCTCTTCACACACACTATGTACTTTGACGAGTATCCAGGTGGTCCCCAGGTCCTAGATGATAGCATCCTGGGAGGAGAACTCTTTGCTACATTCCTTTTTAATCCTGTACATATTTGTAGAAAACCTTTATTATATAAATGTCATATGCTCTTCATTGTTAGTACATACTGTACTTATCTCGAAGAAATAAAGAAATGTTTGAACAAGTTATGTATTAATACCTTTGATAATATATAAATCACAATTTGTAAATATTACATTACATGTAACTCTATTACAGATTAATGTATACATGACTCACATGTCCAACTATGGAAATGACCGCCTGGCCTTGTACACATTTGAGAGTGCTATCAAGTTTGTTCAGTGTTGGACCAATCTAAGATTGAAGCAAGTTCCACCACTTGAAATGGGAATCAAGTATTTTGAGATGTACCCTGAAGAAAAAGATCCTGTGTGGAGGGTAAGTATCAAAGGGCTGTAAAATCAGAACAATTTTTTCCAAGAGAAATTTCAGAAAGTAAATTTCTCCTTTTTTTTTCTATAATATGAAGCAAGAATTTTGTAATCATAACTCACTGTTTTTTCAGAACCCTTGCTCTTACAAAAGGCATATAGAAATTTGGTCAGAGAACAAAACTTGTGATAGACTCCCAAAGTTCTTGGTTATTGGACCACAGAAAACTGGTTAGTCAAACAAATCTTAATTACTATAATTGTAATTAAATTTTGAATTGTCAGGATTTGAAAGAGAAGTTGTGGTTTAATATAATTTTGAACAGAATAGTGTATGTGAAATCTCAGTTTATTGTATATGTAAGCTGATCTTCTTCACAGACATTGATTTTTTTATTCAGGCACAACGGCATTATACACCTTTCTGGCCATGCATCCAGCTATTATCAGTAATTATAACAGTTCCGAGACTTTTGAGGAAGTTCAGTTCTTCAATGGAAATAATTATTACAAGGGCCTTGATTGGTGAGCTACTTTCATTTGTTTATTAGAAATCCCTAATGAATCCTTTTGAAGTTGTTTTATGAAAAATCAGCATTTTACATAAACAATGCAAAGATTCTTTGAAGTATTTTTCAGAGTCCTTTAAGAATTAATTTTATTCATGTTAATAATTTGATGTGGTTTTCTTTGACATGTAAAATAAGAAAACTCTGTCTGATGTCTTTTAGTTTTTTTTAATTATATGTTCAATTTTGCACTCAGAAGAGTACTCTTTAGACTTTTGGTCACCTTAAATTTCAAAACTTTTTGACATGCATTTTATGTATGAAAATTTTTACACTTCACGGCAGGTACATGAATTTCTTCCCCATTCCTCCGAATGCTACCTCAGATTTTCTCTTTGAGAAGAGTGCCACCTATTTTGACAATGAGCTAGCACCACATCGTGCACATGCTCTTCTTCCTAAGGCTAAACTCATCTGCATACTCATCCATCCTGCCAAAAGAGCTTATTCCTGGTATCAGGTAGAGAATCTGTGCATGTTTGTTTTTATTCAGGGGCTACTTAAAAGTGTGTTGGTGTGGGAATACCCATTCTTTATTAAATTTTTTTTGTGTCATAAATTTGAAAATGTCTGGGCTGAAATTCTCATTTTATATCGTAGGTTGATTGATTTGATGAAAATTGCTGTAGAATTGCCTTTAGCATCAGATAAAGTAAAGGGAATTTGATGCTTAATAGCTATTTATCAGTTTTGCAGAGTTTATTAAAAATAAACTATATGGAACCCTACAGAATAAAATCTTTTTTATATGCAGCATATGAGAGCACACAAGGACCCTGTGGCAACAAATTACTCATTTTTCGATGTGATAACTGCATCAGACTCCGCCCCCATGAAGCTCCAGAGTCTGAGGAATCGATGTCTGATACCGGGGATATACGTGCAACACTTATCTAGGTGGCTGGATTATTATCCCTCCAGACAAGTAAGTGTAGATTCAAAAACATTTCACTGGTATTGGTTAATATTTACACAAATTTGAGTGATGTTTTACTTCTACTAGTATACGTTATTTGCTACAATTTATGTAGTTGTGGAGTTTATATGTAAGTACATGTATATAGTGCTATTTTCTTAGATAAGTTATCTTTGATCTACATCACAGAATTGGCTTAAATTCTAAACTTTAATTCAATAAATCTGTCATGAATGATATGTTGTAAGGGTCATGGTGTATGTCATTATTCATTAATTAGAATATTTTCTTTCTTTTTATGCCCCCTTGAAAATGTTTGGCACCTGTCAGTATGCAGGTAGAACAAGTTTTGTCTACTCAGTAACTTGAGAAGCCTTTGCTAAAATGTCATCATATTTGGTCCACTGGAGCCCCTTGAAGAATATGTGAACCCTATTGACTTTGAGGTCACAAGGTCAAAGGGTTAAACTACTCTAGTCATAGGAAGATATTGTCTGTTCAATATCTTGAGAACTATTTGCTTGACAGACATCAAACTTGGTACATGTACAATGGTTCCTCTTAAGGAATGGATGATCCCTATTGATTTTAAGGTCACAAGGTCGAAGGTCAAATTACTGTAGACATAGGAAGATGTTGTCCTTTCAATACCGGTATCTTGAGAATGTATAACATCAAACTTGGTACACCGATTTTCATAAGGAGTAGATGACCCCTAATGCTTATAAGGTCACAAAGTCGAGGGTTAAACTGGGTTAAGGATGATATTGACCACTCAATATCTTGAGAACTCTGCTGGACAGACATCAAATTTAGTACACTGGTAGTCCCTCTAAGAAGTAAATTACCCCTAATGATATTTATGTCTGATAGAGATCAGACTTAGTACTAGTATTACTATTATGTTTGTCCCTGACAAGTAGATGACCAGTTGCTTTCACTATCATTACAGACATTCTAAATTTAAAGTTGTTCACTTTTCAATATTGCCACACAGAAAGCATATATGTTTATCAAACATTTCTCATTTTTGTCAGTTATTTATTGTGGATGGAGAAAAACTCAAGAGTCACCCAGCAGCTGTGATGCATAATGTCCAGCGGTTCTTGCATATAGAACCTCACTATGAATATAATGATTTACTCAGGTAAATTAAGAGTACATATCCTTAATTAAACTGTAATTACAAATTATTGAAACTTCATGCTTTGATCAATCATAAGTTTGAGTTTGTACATTGCACTTGCTATTGTCACTGTGACCTAAATGAAAATGAAATACAGCTATGATCTTTTTAATTGTAGGTACGATCCAAAGAAGGGATTTTATTGCCAGGTAATGTCCAATAACAAAAGTAAGTGTCTGGGACGGAGCAAGGGGAGAAAGTATCCCCCCTTGGATCAGAAGTCTCTCCTGTTCTTGCAGCAGTTCTACAGTAAACACAATGTAGCTCTGTCACACTTACTGGAAAAGTACAAGTTCAGGGTTCCTGATTGGTTGGAGCGGGATCTCAGCAGTGGTAGATAACGCCAAATTTGATTGGTTCAAACATTCTCGTTGGTATCAAATAGAAAATTGTCTTTCATGACATTGATTTTATGAAAATATGTACTGCCAAATATTGTTGATGGGGGAAAAAAATTCTGTGTGCGTGTAAATGGATAATGAATTGGATGTAAATAATATACTGAAAAATGAGAGAATGTGCAGAAAAGGTATTGGCAATTTGATGCTAAAAGATGTTGCTTGTTACTTTTTATATTAAAAGAATGTTAGTTGAAATGAGAGATTTTGTGTAAAAGAGCGTGTATTTTGAACAGTAAATTATCATTAATTATTTACTGAAACCATGTTTAAATAAGCCATTTTATTATGGTTACTGCTTTAAATGAAAACAGGTGCTAGAGTGGTTGCTGTGTATATGTGTGTGTGATGCCTTTCTGCAATTTGTTCAAGGAATTTACTTTAGTAGTAAAAAACATTAGAAAAGAAATTATTGGATGAGAAAATGTATCAACAGTGAATGAAATTTGATTTAAATGATACTTTCAGTGAGTAAAATAATTAACTGTATTGTGTTAAAATAAGTGGATTTTCCTTGATTATTTTCAAAGAAACTGCAATAGGAATCAGATTTCAGCAAGGACAGAAAGAAAAATAATGCCAAAAAATTAAAACCCCAAATATAATTGTTGAATTCCATTCAAAAAAAAAAGTTTTTTTGTAATTAAATTGATTTTATATAAACGTTTGGAAGTATATTTTAATTTTCTTGTTATGTATATTTTTAAAGAGTCAACAGGTTGGACTCTTGTATTTTATGTTACAGTTTTACAAAATTTAAGCAACTGCTTCAGAAAATTTTACTGGATTAATGGTTAAATATACCTTAAGGGTAAGAAATTAGAAGTACTCAGAATCGGATGTTAATGAAATGTAGATTATTGTATGTACTTTTAGACTTTGAAATTTTCAATTGTCTTCCAAATATGTGTATGAAAAAAGAAATTAATAGACAGTCTAGTTATATGCTGATTAGTGTTCTGACTTTATTCAATGGTCAGGTGAGTCATGTTTGTTTATAGATAACCACACTCAGCTTTAGAATCCCGGTTTAGGTTATGAACAATTTGAAGACAGTGGGTAGCTATGTTTTTCATTGTGAAATGTATCATATGTTGTATAAAGTAATTGTTTAAAAGAAATGATATATGCTGATTTTTCTTATTATCATCTTTTTCTATTTTTATTAGATTACAAGTATTGATATTAACTGCATTCAAATGTCCGGAAATTTAATCAAACCAATAAGTTGGTTGTCTGAATATTGTAATTGTATTTGAAGATTTAGCTATACATGTATAAGGGGGGGGGGGGGGGGATCAGTTAAATTTTGTCTGTTTTTATTTTTGTTCATTTTATCAGAGTCTACTTGTGAGTAAAGAACAAGTTTTGAAATATAAATATGTCGCAAACAGAAAATGCTGCTTTACATTTTACATGCAAATCAAAATAGAAGTGAATTATATATAGCATTCAATTTTACAACATTGATTAAAATGGTGATACCTTGTAGTTTAAGGCAGTTGACTGGGGTTTTATTGTGTAAAAAACTAAAATAGAAAAAAAAACGTCAATTTTATCCCATGTGTAACCAAAACTGACTTCAATGTATATGCAAAGTTTGGGAAAATCTGATATCTGGGTATTATTTAAAGACCAGCTCAAAATATTAGTACATTACTATAGGATTATATAGGAAAGTGCTAATTTTTGCACTTTGAAGCAAATTATAAAAATATTACATAAGATTTATTTGCAAAGATAAGTAATACTACAGTATACATTATATATAAAAACATAAAGTTTTACCTTTTGGTTTAAATTTTCAAAAGGGTGCAGCTCAGACCAAAAAAAACAACAACAACAAATTGTGAAAATTTCCTATTTTTATGGAGTTCTACAAAAGATTATAGATACTTAGGATTCATACAGAAAATAATTAAAAATGACTTAGATTTGAAATTTTCTGTTTCCAGTTTCAAAAGCATTATTTTATACTTTTTCTAGTGCATTTATGGAATGAAAACCAGTCGGCTACCCGATAGATATCTACATGTATTTATCTTCAATGCTTACTTTTCAATATATTGATGCATTAATTGTCTATTTTCATATGTGAAAGCATCTTGGTTTATGATTTTTCAGGTGTTTATTTAAGGAATAACTGTCTAATTTTTTGGATTCATGATGTGATCAATCGAGTGGCTTGCGTGATAATTTGCATAAACGCCGAAGGCGTTTATGCATAAAATTATCACGCAAGCCAATCGATTGATCATCGTCATGAATCCAAAAAATCTGACAGTTATTCCTTATATTTACATGCTCCTGATTCTGCAAATTCCCGTGCTAATAGCCCCGCTATTTGTCCCGCCCCGCACGTGATTTTTTTTAACCGCGCCTATCGATGAACCAGTAGATTTATGTAGAAATAAAGTATTTTTACAATTTGTAATTTTATCTCGGACAAAGACATTGGAAATGTAAATATTTGTTTATCATCATGACAAGTAACATACTCTGATCATGAAAACAAAATTCTTATGTTGTACCATGAGTTTTGATACTGAAATGCCAGTTTATGAAGTGTGAAAAAATACTATGTAATATATTTACTATTTGTTCTGTGAACAATTTGTTGCAGATGTGTGTTTTATAAACATGTAGCTGTTGGCATATGCAATATAATGTACTAGTATTGCTATTCTCATCAATTCTTGATCTGAACATGATCCTTTTTAAGTAGTTTTTACATCCAAAAAGTTTGTAAAATCCATTTTAAGTAACCTGTCTTGTGATGTTTATTGTAGATTTTTAACATACCATGGAATCATTTTAATTATGGGAGTCAATGTTTATGGGCAACCAAAATTTCTGGTTTGTAGGGACATAATTTCATGCGTAAATTGTTAATATACTTTCAGTGAACTCAAGTGAATTACTCACAGACCAAACTTTTCTTTTGAAGGATGAAATTACATGTAATTGAGTTTTAAAATAGTACATATTTTAAGTTTTCATGTAGATTTTAAGTACATACATGTATTTCAAGAGTAAAATTTTTATATGAAAAAAAAGTAAACTTTTTAATAATACACAAATTTATAAATATTTTTTAGAAAATAAGTTTTTTCAGAAGGGCATTATTAGGGATAAGGTAATAACTTTTCTCATGCAAAAAGTCATTTTTAGAGAGCTTACTTACTTCTGAGAAATTATTTTCAAAAATACATATAAATTTACATACTCTTAAGAAAGCTTTTTTTTCATATAAAAAATTAAATTAACATTTTCATATTTAATTTTACTTCCACTTTGTGCCCCAGAGAACACATGAGACAGTCAATAGTAGATTTAAATTTGTTAAAATAAATGTACAGTACATGTGCAGTATTGATTCAGACATTGATCAAAATGATGAACCCTAATGAGCATTTAAATTTAATTTTAACTGATATTTTTAATAAAGAAATAAGTGTTGACATTAATTTTGTGATCTTTGTTGATTCTTAAAGACATGGAATTCCAAAGGAGTTTTTTATTTAAGTGAGGCCACTGGAGTTTTATGGTATGAAAACTGCAATAGAAAAACTCTTTCATTTTACATATATATGTAACTTTCACTGACTTCAGTACACATACCAAGTTTAGGGAAAATCTAACATCTCAAAATACAGGTACATTTACTATAAGATTATAGGGCCATTGGGAAAGTGCTTATTTTTTGCAATTCAAAGGAAATTTTACAAATACTACAAGACCTTTTGCTCAAATTATAAAAATTATAAAATTACAAAATTCTCATCTGGTTTCCAGAGTGGGCATCTCAGAATGTGAAAATTTAATGGTCACAGAAGTCTTATTCAAATGAGCCTGCCCAACAGCATCATTCAATCTAAGTCATTCCAGGTTACAAAAAATTCCTCTTGGTTAAGTTGAAATGCCTTATTTCTTCCTGAAGTGAGTGAATTAGTAGAATTTGGCATACTCAGCATCATTAAGCATAAAAAGAAGGAAAAGACATAAAGAATTCATTATTGCTCACATTTATTCTTTAAAATGTTCAAATGCATTGAAAGAAAATTTGCTAAACACAAAATTATTCACATGAAATATAGCTGTACATGCTCAGTTCTTTTTTCTGTGTTCTCCTTATCATTTAAATGATGTGAATGAAGATAAAGCAAACTCTTGTAACTGTAATTTGTATTAAACTCATTTAAATAAAGCAGGTTCTAAAACTATGAATAATGAACACCCAAAAAACTTTTACACATGGGAAAGAATATAAATGTGGTGAAAAAATGCACATTCTTGTACAACAGTCATTCAAAAATTATTTGTTATACTTGGAACATAGTGCATGTATCATGATTCATGAAGTACTATCCATATGTACATGTATGTTAAAAACCCTTGCCATATAGAATATGTAATATTGATGGCCAAAATAAATAGGCAGAGGAATGAGCTATCTTACAATTGAACTTCATCCAGTTGCTCAAGGTATTGCATGAACTTTGTACAGCATCAAAAATTTTGCTAGATACTGAGCTAAACATTATCAATTTATTTAAGTGATATGTATGCTAAATATGAATTTATGTACAGTAATACATCACATACTGTAAACGCATTTTAGTTCATGGGGGGTCAATGTTCGTGGACTACTAAAATTTTACTGGATCGTGGGGACATATTTTCATGGGTAACCTATATTTACAGAATATTCAATAAATCAATAATTTGACAAAATTTGTTCATGGGGTCAAAAATATACGAACATTGGTCCCACATGAACAATGATGATTCTAGAATATACACTTTAATAATATCACTGACAAAACATGGCACTACTCAAAGGTGGTGTGTGGAATAACAAATTTTCAAAAAAAAATCTCTATTGTGTCAATTTATAGCTTGGTCCTATTCAAACAAAAAAAAAATCCTCTAAGGTATACACTGTGATGGAGCTACAATCAAAATGACGATGACTTTCAATTTGGAATGCCTACATCATAATAAAATGTATGCAAGCAAAATTTTATGTCTTTCCCAACCTAGACTTGAATGAAAGTACTGACTAGCTTGTTAAACTGTGTTTTTCTAACACAGAATAATTTAAAATAGCATCAAATATCAAACAGAGAAAAGTTCAAACTAGCACAGAAGTTTTGCAATAAATTGAAATTGTGCAATATAATTACAATATTTCATTCTTTCCCTTAGAATAATTACAAAAACAAGATGCTATCTGATGAGTTATCAGTGACAAGTATATTATATACATGTAACAGCTTCTACATGTACGTACATATGAAAATATTTCATAATTGTGCTTTAAACAGTGTGTATGCAAATAGTGAATAGATAATAAATAAAACACTGGTACTTTGATCGAACTGCTGTTAAATTATCCAACAGAACACAATTACTAATTACTGAGTGAATGTTTTGCCTTTAAATCCAATGCGTAAGATTTTGCAAACATCTTCATGAACATTAATGTATATAACAGATATTAAAATCAAGTGGAGAGAATACAAGGGGTGTTAAGGGAGCAAATGGACTACATGTATTTTTATTTATAGCACTTTTATGCTTTTTTGTTTAGACTTGAATTCAAAACATTTCATTTTAAGTTCTTCAAGAAATCTCATTTCTGGACTAGTATATCTAATGATATAAGATCTATCAAATCACAGTTATGATGTTGTAAATGATAAAAGCAGAAAAGTTCACAACCTTTATCACATACAAAAAAAAACCACTTTATTTCAACTCATATTCTGCATGGACCTTCATCCAGTAAACTCTTAATTTTTGAATAAACAGTGGGGAAAAAAATCGTTCAAAGAAAATTTAAAAACATTTTCTTCACCAGAACTAGGTACATTTCACAGCAAATCAATATTACTAGCTTTAATGAGAGATTCTGACCCTTGATAACTATTTGCTTCTGGTGCTTTGCAATCAAGAAAAATATGTAAAATTCAAAGCAAAATCTCCATTTAGTATTTTGAAAAAATACATATATATAACTGGTTTCTAAATGCACATACTTTACGCTAGTTGTGTGTACATTTCATCGATTTGTGACTTAAATTTGACTTTGAGTTCATGTCTTTTTGCCTTAAATGTTGGTGTCAATAGTCCATTTTCCACAGAAAACAAATCTGGATGGAGGAAAATGTCCTTGACCTGAAAGTAAGTGATTCAGTGCTTTAAGCTGATGATATGCAGGTTATATACTAGATACTCAAATCATTAGAAAACAACACTAGTAGCCCATGGGCCACAATGCTCAACTGATTAACTTTAGCCCTGCTGCTTTTCAGACTTAAAAAATTCTCTTTTATATTCCCATGAAAAAATGTGACTAAATATTACTACCCCATCCTAACTTTAAAGGGTCTCTGAATCCACACAACCAGGGGATGCTTCAATATCAATATGACAAACATGGTCCTGCAGTTATGGAGAAGAAAATTCTTTTCCTGTATACATGCATCATATAAAAGAGACCCCAATTTAAGCGAACTCTAATCCAGGGTCTATGATTTAAAAAAAATATATATTGAATCCACTTTATTTGGTTCTTGAGAGGAATTTTGAAATTTTTTATCTAGTCCAGTTTAAAACTTTGATCTCTTACTGTGACCCGACCCTACTCCTGGGGGTCATCATTTGAGCAATTTAAAATCTACATTATATAGAGAGCTTTCGAAGATGTTTCATCTTTTTTGGCCCAGTTGTTCTTGAGAAGGATGTTTAAACATTTGTTCCAATTAACATATACTTCTGTAAAACTTCTATTCCCTATTGTGGCCCCATCCTACCCCTGGGGACCATGATTTGAACAATTTAGAATCTACACTAAATCTGAAAGCTTTCATATAAGTTTCACTGGTTCTTGGAAGGGGGCTTGTCCCTTCAGTTGATGAATTTAAAATCCCCTTTACCCAAGGATGCTTTGTGCCAACTTCAGTTAAAACTGGTCCACAGTTCTTAAGAAGAAGTCAAAAATGTGAAAAGTTTACAGATGGATGGACAGACGGATGCCGATCAGAAAAGCTCACTTTCCATATATACTCACCTATAAGTCGGTTTTTTTGGGAGTTAAACTTTGGTCCAAAACTCTTCAACAGACTTATACGCGAGTTATAAAAAGATTGGTATTTTAGCAGGTCAATCCCTCTAATTTTAGCTTAAAAAATATTACCGACTTGTAGGAGGACTGACTTATATGCGAGTATATACGGTAAGCTTTCATTTCAGAGGAGCTACCAATGGACAGTAAATGAAGAAATTTACGGCTTGCAAATTATACAAGTACATGTATGGGAGAGCATCATGTGCTGGTAGTAATATCGGGAAAAATATCAATCTAGGATATGAAAAAATGGAAAAGAATCTAAAGAGAAACGTCATTCTTAGTTCAGTACTTGTGTAGATTACCCCAATGTGTTGATTTTTCTCACTTACACTAATAGCTAAGTAAAAACGAACATTCACTTTTCTAAATGTTTTGCTTAGAATCAATTAGTGCTACCTAGAACTCTTTTGTGTACTACATTTATTTTGAAAAAAAATGTTTTGACCATGCAGCTAAGTATATAAAGCTTAAACAACTTACTTGTTCAAATGAGTGGAGTCCTCCTGCTTTTCCATACTTGGTCATGTCAGCCAAAATCTCTTTCTTTACATCCTATCAGGATAAAAATACACAATAAGACATATATAAAAAAAAAAAATACAGTGTCAGTCATTTTTCACTTACAGTAATATGGGGGTAATGCATACTCTCTGGTGATTGATTAAGTAAATGCTTTTAAAATCAGTAATTGTTTGTTCAGTTAGTTTGACAGTATTTAAACTATCCCTAAATTAAAATCTGAGTGGACTCTTATTAAAAGTATTGATAATATGTGTATTAATTTTAGATTGGTACAAAACTATTTCAATCACTAAAATTTATAGAACACTCTAAAACTGAAATTTAAACAATTCTTCACAGGATCTTACTTACAGCATTAGAACACAACTCCTCCATGGATTGAGACACATTCAGTTTTGTTTTGGCCCAGTTTGGTAACACATCTGGATCTGGTACAACTATGCCAACCAAACTCGACTGAGAATAAAGAGTGTATTAATTAATTTTTTTTATCTAATTTATGTCTGAACAAGAAATATATTGAAGAGAAGAAGCTTTAATTTGATTTTATCTGCGTCTTTTGTACAAGAAATCTATCATAAGAGAAGAAACTTAATTTTTTATTTAGAAAAAAATCATTAAAGAGAAGAATCCTACCTTTAAGCTCTCTCCATGAACAAATACTTGTGCCACAAGGGGGCTTCTTACATAGACACTTTCTATCTTCTCTGGGGCAATGTATTCACCCTAAAACATGTACAAAACTATGTTATACTAAAACTGTTTATTAAGTATACTAATTACACAATTTAACTATTAGGCACTGAAGAATAAGTCAAGATTGAAAAATAAATTTGCCTATTGAAGTATTCAATGTGTTAAGTTGCTAATAATACCCACATTGTATTTTTTTTTAATATATATACCTGTGCTAATTTGAAAATATTCTTCTTTCTATCAATAATTTTCAAAGTTCCATTCTGAAAAAAAAAGAAAAAAAAACAAAGAAATGAGATTCTCTGTCTGAGACTTGGATAAAGTTACAAGAAACATGTGTTTTCTTCTTATAAACATTTTTATAGAACATTTTTTTTAATTGTTTACTCAGAAGGACCTTACTTCTAGCCACTGTCCAATGTCTCCTGTGTGAAGCCAGCCATCTTTATCTAGAGCTTCTTCAGTTTTGGCTTGATCTCTATAGTAACCAAGGAACACATTGGGTCCTTTTACGCAAACCTATTGGACAGATAATTAATTGTATGTCATATCAATCCCAAACAACTTTTCTATCATCTAAAATTGCTTAAAATCATCCATTAAAGTTTAATAGTTAATGATGATCCATTTAGTTTATGAACTTTATTTAATTTTAATAAATTTCTTACATATAATTTCTTAAAGCATGAATTTCTGATCATACAGAATATTTGATTTACCTCCCCTTTGTCATCCTTTGCAAAATAATTCATTTCCTCTACATCAGCCAGTTTTATCTGACAGCAAGGCAGTGGTGGGCCTACATTTCCTGCATACCAAAACATTTTTGAAATACATCATCTCAACAATAACTAGCAATTTGTTTCAGTGAAAATCCCATACTAACAAACTTGTGTGTCCAAGTAGCATTTCTACACGCAAGTTCTTAATAAGATAATTTGGGAATGATACTGCACTACATGTTTTAATAATTGATCTTGATAAATCTCTTTACAGCTTATTATTATCATTCTGTATCATCTAAATTGATTTAATATTATAATTTTTTTTTCATCCTCTCATGACTTTTAGACATTACTTGGTAACTAATAAAACCTTCAATACACAGTCCAAATTATTTGTTCACTCTCCATTTTTCTAAATTTGATGATACAGCAATGATTTGTTTGTAATTTTTCTTGCATGTAAAGGCATTTAAATTTATGTTTCATTGTATATTTCAAGCTAAAATTTAACTTTAAGTTTTCAAAGTGCTATCACTTTAAAAAGTTATTCCCCTTACTTTCACATTTTCTAAACATACAAAAAGACAAGTATAAGATAAACCACAAGCTAAATAAATATCTCTTTTTACAACAATGAAGATACTTATATAGGAAGTTTGAATACAGTCATCTTAAGGACACAAAGTTTCAAACTTATCATTGAAAAATGTTCAAGATGTTAAAAACTAATAATTTGCTATGTATATAAAACGAAGGTATAAAAGGCATTTTTGTGTGTTAAATAGATGTACTCTGTCCAGACCTGCCTTAGAAGCTACATACAGGAACCTTGTGTTTCAATCAGGCTTCTGGGAAAGTCCCCAGACCAAGGGTAGAGAGTACCCAGAGGTGACCTCTTGTATTCTGAACCAATGTCCTACTACAAGCTGTGATGCCTATTGGTGGAGCTGGGACTGTTACAGAACTTAGTCATAGTATAGTCATGCAGGTACTGCAATCTGCAGCAACAGAATGGGGCTTATTCTGTCAGAGTACTTCTTTTGTCACATAAACTTTTTCTCTCTTCCTACATAATTATGTTGTCATGATTTCACTATACCTGTGTCTGGATCTCCCACCAGTGTCACTGTACAGACAGCATGGCATTCTGTCTGTCCATATCCCTCCACAACCTGTCAAAATAAGTAAAATAATAACAAGTGCTTTCATATCTAGTGATGGAAAGGATTGTAGTTTTTTTCATGTGTTTTAAAGATAAGTATTGTTTGAATAATATAGAGACGTTACTCTTCATAAGTTCATGTTTGTTTAGGAATTGATTTATTTCGTGTACTTACGGGACACCCCACAACACATCTCAGGAAGTGAAGGACTTTAGGGGACAGGGGGGCAGATCCTGTTGTTATAAGCTTAACCTTTCCACCCAAACCTGCCTGAATCTTCTTGAATACCACTTTGTCCCATATACTATCATTTCTAATAATACTCCTGTGGAGAAATTCATATAATACATTTATGTGTGTCAATTAATAAATTTTGTACATATTAGTTTTAAAAGTTCCTGACAAGCAGGATCACATGCAAGTCAAACAACAGCAACTCATCAAATTCTTGTGATAAAAATACCATTGAAATACCCATTTTAAAACTATTGCCACTTGATTTCAATGTGGAGTATTCATAAATTACAGGAAATTGACAGGTGAATGGTTTACTTTTCAAATCAAAAAAAAAAAAAAAAAAAAAAAAAAGGAAACCTACTTTTTGAGTTCATTTTCCTTGCTAGCAATGGCCATGTTAAACAACTTTCTTTTTATAGCCGACCCTTCACTTAACTGAGTCATGACCTACAAAAAATGAAAATTTGAAATAAATGTCAGCAATACTACTCCTATTCTCCTCATTAAAGCAGTATTTCATTTCCTTTTTTTATTACATTTTCAGAAATAAATCAGCAGATCACAAGTAAAAAAAAAAAATTATAACTAGATTATAATCAGGGTATATGTCCATGTGTCATGTTAAAAACATAAAATATCCAAGTGCATGTGCTAATGGTATTACTTTATCATAGACTCTGTTGAGTAGCCTTGGTACAGATGGGAAGAGTGTGGGCTGTAGCTCCTTAATGTCATCCATCAATAATTTTACATCACCTTGGAAGAACCCTATTCTGGCTCCATTTAATACACAGTAACACTAAAAAATACAGTTGATTTCAAATCAGAGAGGAAGAATAAAAATACATCACACGTACGTTGATTTAAAATCTTTTCCATACAATTAATATTTATATAATTAATTTCCACATCCCAACTATTTTCAATATTTATTTACATTTTAGGCATTAGAGGAATGTTTAATTTGTATACCTCTAGTAACCTTTCATATGAATGAGCTAAGGGGAGATAAGAGATGAGAGTATCTTCAGGAGAAATGTCTATTCCACCCGGTTTCTGCAAAAAAAAAAAAAAAAGGAAAAATGACCATCAGGGATTCATATAACACACACTGGATATTCAAGTTGTATTTAAGGAGGGATTCTTGTCTGGTTTCTGACTAGATGAAATATACAAAGTATACTTGCTTATATGTTTTATATATTTAGATGTAAGAGATTTAAAAGATCATATTTTTCTTTCCTCATCACAATTGTACAACTTTAAATAGAAATGGTAAAGTGAGTTTGAAATCTAGCAGGGACTATATTTTTGGCGGAATGGCGGCGTATGAAAATATCTTCTTTTCTGCCTCTCAAAATAATTATAGAACAATGAATTTAGTTATAATTTTTAAATGTAAGTTAAATTAATAATAAGGGACTAAAGTTTTAAAATATATGAAATAAATATGATTTTCCAAACAAACTACAATTATGTTAGCTTTTAAAAGCTTCCAATCTAAATTCAGATTTGAGCCAAAAATCTGTAAAAAGTGTTTTTTCTCTCTTAGTAAATTGTCAAAACTTTTTGTTTTTATATCATTTTGTATCTTTATGTGACAACTTTACCATATGTGAAAATAAGAATAATTTAAATATAGGAAGCATATAAAAATAACTAAAATATCTTAAAATTTTAAGAAAAAGAGAGAAAATTCAGATTAGCCAATATCCATTTTAGTTAAATTATTTATGTCAATTTGGTAATATCATCTTATAGACCCTATATAGTAATATCTCTTTATGCAAAAAGAAAAACATTTAATTTATTGAAATAGAAGTAGGCATCGCATGATTGGCAACAGTAATTTTTTATTCTTAATGTCCAGGGAAAAGGTACTGACCTTGCCTCTAATATAAAACGGTCAAATTTAATCTAACTGATACCATTACTTAGTCATACTGTCTTCTTGATTCTGTGAAAATTTCATTGATTTTTAAATATAAGAAATAAGTGATCTTATGAGAAGAATCCCTCCTTAATAACATCATACAGCACTATAATTATATCCTTTCAAACTTGAGAAAAATGTAGTTCTCATCTCTGTTGAGTAAATTTAAAATTATGAAAGAGGAGGATCTAGAAATATGATGAAAGGTAGATCTAAAGTCACTATACCACAAATGACAAAACTCACCAGTATTGTTGCAGCAGCCACAACTGTTGCCATAGTCCCTTTGTGTGTAAGCATGGCACCTTTAGGTAAACCTGCAAATATCATGTTTTTTATTTTATCAGTAAGATAGTAAACATATTTTTTTTTCACTAAGATATTTTTTTCATATTGTTATTCATGAAAGAAGGCTTGTCTGTGAAACATAATGATCTTGGTAGTAGCTGTATGTACTTATCTATGAAACATACACTACAATGAAAAATTACCTACCCCCACCCCAACGACTTCCCAAAATATACTGTGAATATTTATCAAATATATCATTATTTATTGATAGATTGATTAATTACTGACTGTGACATATGACATACAAGGAAGCAAGGGGCAAAAAATCATTATAGTTGAAAATATCTATACAAGATATGTACATGTACTTGTATACTTAGCATACTTAATAAGTACTAGAATTTAGATTACAAAATGAAATCACACAAATCATTAGCAATTCTTTTGCAAATATTGTTCTTTGTCAGAAAACTTTGAGTGGTGTGAACAGCATGCCTAGAATCAGTCTATGGCATCTAATTAAAATTGTCCCCTACGTTTTATATGTTATTTACGGCACATCTAATAATAAAATGTAGGGGCTAATATTAATTTCTTTTGTCTATGGTATTTCCTTGCTGACTGTCCCTAGGTGAAGTAAAGTACAGAACAACTGACTAAATAAATCTTTTTTTTTTCAAATACATTTTCAAGAAATAAATCCCTCACCCTAGAGTTTTGTAAATTGTCACTCAATGTCGCACAAGAGACAGGGTATGGCATAATAAATTTCAGAATATTTAAAACACTTGACCAAATATATAACCACAGGAGAAATGCCAGAGATTGATATGTCATGTACTTCTATTATCCTTCATTCCAAGTTTATTTACAAATCACTATTCAACAACTATATCAAGAACACCACTGAACAAGTATTTACAGCAATAAATAATGTTCTGCCATGTCCTGAGATTTATTTCCTGTTTACTGTAGCATATATAAAGGGGATTACCTGTTGTACCACTGGTGTAGCATAAAACACACAAATCATCAGGCTTAGAGGGCTGAAAAAAGAATCAAGAATTCATTTTACCACAAACAATACACAGTCATGTATGTACATTATCAAAACAACACAGCAGGAAATATGTTTGAGATTTTTTTTCTTTAGAAATTCACCTTTAAACTTTACATGTAAATATAAACCAATTATGACAGAAGATATATGACAGTTAACTAAATGTGCATTCTTCACCCACTTTCTCAAAGGTCTTTTAAATTTAATTCCAATTAACAAAGCTGAAATTATAATAACTCAATGAATTGAATTTACAAATCCTCATTGCAATCCTCTGACTTTCAAATTAAGTCTATCAGAGCTAAATATTGTTGACTTTTTCTTTAAATTGAGCTTACCTTTGGCTCCTGGGGGTTCTGTTCACCTAGAGCCTGAAAGTTACATAATCATATAATAATTTTAAATTATCAAACATGTTTACATATAATTATAATATTCGATAACCATGAAATAACCCTCTTCAAGATAACATTAAACCAGCTTTTAATATCACTTTTTGTTACAGTAATACCTGTTTCTTTGACTTTTCATTCAAAATTACAAAGACCTAAGACTTATGCCTCATCAATTCAAAGGTAATAAGTTTAAAAAAAAAATCTAAAAATTAAAGAGCAAAGAAAATTTATCACACATGAAAAATAAATAAACTTTGATCAGATAAGTAAGCCCAAATGTAAATGAATCAGATGTGTATAGTAAGTAGCAGTATTAGTCCCCACCTCTAATTCAGAGAAGGAGAAGAGGTCTATCTTGTGATTGGCGGCACTCTCTTTGATTTCATCAGATGGTTCCTCCACCAGAACCACCTTCCTAAGATTAGGCATCTCCTTAATCCTGTCCAGTAGGGCCTTCACCTTCACTATCTTATCACAGATCACCAAACTAATCTCAGCTAGTAAGAGAACATTTTTATACACATAATAGATATTTTTAAAATAATAAAACACTTGGGTAAATATATATATGTACAGTTGAACTTCGATATCTCAAACACTGATCTCTCAAATACCATGGATATGTCGAAGTGATTTGGAAGTCCCAAACACTTATTCTTTTAGTATTTTACCCTCAATATCTCAAATCCTCGGATATCTCGAAATTTTTCCTCGGTCCCATCAAGTTTGAGATAACAAGGTTTGACTATATATTTATATAGACAAGACTCAATGCTTTGTCTATGATAAAAACGTGATGTACATATAGTTTGGATAACCTTCTCTGTGCTCTGAATATTGCTTCAATTTATTTATTTATAACAAAATTGACAGAGGGCAGAGGCTACATTTTTGTTCTAAAATGTTTTGGTAACAATAACAAAAATTGTAATACAGTACATATTTTAATAAGAGAAAAGTTTTCATCCCATTAAATTTACATAATTATTTTGTTAACTGTGACAACTGCAATCATGGGGGTAGTATTTTGTTTCCTCAGTTTTATCTCTATTTTCTCTTCAATCTCCAACTACCAGTAATTCTCTCGGTTAAGATAACCTTCTTCTACATTTATAATGCCTTTTACCTTGGTTGATGATGTGTGTACAAGCTTCATGGCCCAGGGTGTCATACAAAGGTACAAGGACCATGGAGTACATGTAGCAACCTTGTTCTGTAATCCCATACTGAAAAAAAAGTTCAATTTGTGTTACAACAGAATGTTGCTCACTGCATAAAGATCAAAATTTCATATTTTAATTGGATACATTAGTGCCAACAAATTCTCTCCATTCAAAAACTTGAAAAGGTTACACAATTTTCAGTAATTAACATTTTCAGAAATCTATTTTTTGTTTGAATTTTCTCTGTTGGATGAATTAGACATATCTGATATTGGTGGCATGAGAAAAATGAATTTCAGAGAGAACTTCATACTAGATACCTCAACTCTGTTTTGGGAATAAATGCCAATATTCGTCGTGTTTTCTGGTTTTAGTCCTTTTGCTATAAAGCCAGCACCAACATTAGCTGCTCGAACAAGGACCTATGGGGGAAAAACACACCATAATACTGTATAATTTACATATATTTTTTGCTCTCTTTGATATCTTAAGACACAGTACCTCTTTGCCATGCTTAAATCACAATCACACTTAAAAAACTACTTATCAAGCATGTGTCATTTTCACTACATCAAATTTTAGTTTCACATCATGTAAGTATTAAGGAATACTTCTAGACATCACTTGAAAAGAAGGAAATTAATAAATGGGATGCTTGATCTTAAATTCATCTCTAGAAAGCAGTCTTTCCTGAAGGAAGTAGAATAAAATTTAATGATAAATTTACATATGCACAAAAACAAAAAACACACTGCAACACAATTCAACAGAATCTTTGAAACTTAGGGGATGTTAAATGCTTCAAATATATTTGAACTGTGAATTATATAATTCAAACTTTATATTTATGGCTCTAACTGTGAAATTTTAGTAGAGGTAAAAACCAATACACATATTTTGCAAATTATTAACCTACATCATTATAGGAGATCCATGTGAAAGGTTCTGTGGGACTGGGCTTCCATCCATATGCCTGTCCATTATCTACAATGATCAAATAACTCACATAAAATACGTGTTTTTATTCAAAATCTGACTTTTATTTAACAACTTTCCAAACATATTGTGAAACATTTAGCACGCCTTCTTTGACAAATATAAGCAAGAAATAACCGAAAATCTTTTGAGATATTTTTTTATAATCCCAAGTGAACATGTTTCATACGTCAGTGTTATCGATTAAATATATGAGTGTCATATAAATTTATATTGCAACTTTATTGCAAGAGAGAGAAAACATGAAATTTATTATGTGTTGAATATTTTGTAACACAATGAAAGTTTTTTGGGGGGGGGGTTTAACTGATAATAAAATTTTTAATAAAACATTATTTCACGGTACAGTTGATAAAATGTCAACCATCTTCTGTAAATTTGTGTGCATTTTAGAATTACTGCTTAATCATGTCTTCATTCTATAAACTAATTCAAAAGAAGCACATGATATATGTGGCCCCGAGGACAAAAGACAAACATGTTGTTAATTGAATCATACTTGGACTTTGTACTTTATGAATAACCAAAAACTTTAAAGTCAGAAGACTTTGGACCCAACAGAAAAAAGAAAGACCACTTGTAATTAATACCTTCTAGCTAAGAAAGTATTAAGAAGTATCACCAGCAATCGGTCTATTTCATAAATGATTAATATGTAAATGTTTACACTAACAAGGATATGATTAAATCTTTACCAAGCCTTAAAGCTCCAGGCATTTTTTTCTGATTGACAAATAAGTCTCAATTATTTACAGTGCCTCATAATGTATGTAAACATCATTGATGATACATATGAAATACCTGTGATAAATGGGATGACACGGCATTATAAGTAACAATGTGCTAGTTTATTTCTCTCACGGATCAATAACAGTAACAGTAACAAATTGGGGGGGGGGGGGGGCTTGAGTTGGGGGGGAGGGGGAGGGGGGAGGTGTGACTTATTTCACTGAAGGTTCATTGCATCATTCACTCATGAACAAAAATTCTTAATGTGGGTCTCAATCATGACTTGTACCACAGCAGATCTTTTTCGTTTCTGGTTTTCCTCCTCATCTATACATCAGTGTGACAGATGTACCTCAATGAACACATATGACATCAGTGTGAGACGTACTCTATGTAGGACTTACTTGATACTCTAGCTCCACGCTTGAAGGCATCATGCAATGTCTTGATCTCTGCATCTTCATATTCACAAATGTATCTTCCATTTTTACAGAGCCTTGACATCCGTGACCTTTCATTTTTCTGGAATGCAAACAATAATTTTTGTCAATGTCATATAACAAAAATATATTTATTCTTATGTCATATTTTATATTATGAAAGCTGCATGTATAAGATCCTTGACTCTAAACCTCAGTAATCAAATGTGAAGAAATATATAGTCAAAAAACATTTGTCATATAAAAATGTCCTTCCATCATGTCCATTCATCAAAAACAAAAGGTTTCTCGCAATGAAACTTTACTTAAAATAATGTTTCAACATGAACAGATAAGTGACATATACTAAATTTTTTCCTTCTTTAAGGCACTTGAAATACATAACATAAGTGCATCAGTTGGCAAATCTAACTGTTATAAACTTCTTTACCATAAATATTAACTCTGGCTTTGCATATGCATGGCTCTTTTAAAACTCTCTGATAAAATGTTCATATGTATAAAAATATCTGTATCAATAATATTGGCACCCACAAGATACACATCCTCCCAACATTTAAGTAGATGTTACGTATTTGTTGAATTTATGATGCAGGTTTTGTACCTTTATATTGTTATTATCTATCATAAATATTTGGCTTTGGCATATCCTACGTGAAAACCCAGAATAGAAACACCTTGAGCAGGATTACCCCTGGTGTGAAGAAATGTATAAAAAATATGTTAATAAATGCAGATTCTATTTTCTGGGTTAAATTTTATTGGAATAAATCTACATGATCTTTTAGGGAAGAATACCCCCCCCCCTCCTTTAAACAATTGAATGATATCTGAAATGTATCAACATGATCAATACAATTAATTATTTATTTACTTGAGCGATCAAAGATTTTTTCTTTCCATTGGTTTGTTTGATTTACATGTATTAGTCATCTTATGAAAAATATCACGGATCAAATTAATACTTAATATGCATGGGTTCAATGTGGAATAAATATATTCCTCCCTCTAATGTATCTGTACATAAAAGTTCAACTTATAAGAAAAATTTCTGATATCCTAAATAATGCTCTACATTTAGAAAACAGAAAATATGAAAGACACAGGTGAAATTTAGATATATAATTATACATGCAAGGAATAGAAGGCCCAGCCCAACCCTAAAAAAGTTGCTCTACTTTTAGCAAATGTGAACAACACACTAAAATTTAAAATGCCAGGAATAGAACTAATCTCCTGGGAACTTTTAAAGTTTCAACCACTAATGGTCACTGAATTAAATTTTTCAATTTAACAGACTTAAAATATTTTCATGGTTGACTAAATCAAGTTTCATATAACTTTGAACTAGTATGTAATGCTTTAAATTTATACAATCAAAATAGAAATAGAATAAGAAATAATTTAACTGATAAGTTTCATTATAATCCACCATAATTTTGTCTTCCAGGATTTAAGTACATGATTGAGTATTTAGATCACAAACATTTAAGTTATAACACAGTACTTGTTTTTAAAGAGACAACAAATTTAAAATGTGACCATGTGCTTGCATAATTTACAATGAAGCACATGCAACTAGGTCTCTCCCCAAAGAGAGAAAGAAAGAAAAATAAATTTCTAGAATGTTAAAATAAAAACATTAAACTTACATCAACAATATCACTCTGATTGTGTGGGTCCAAAACAAGATTGTAGGACTGACTATTTCCCATGTTTTTCACAATATTTCCCAATCAATAACAAATATACACAACACTCCACGTGGGTCTTCCAATTTTCTGAATTCACTACACTATTCACTATACTGGCCTTTACTTGATAAGGGGGTATTTCAAAGAACTTTGTGTGTTTTTTCAATCACAGCTCAGCACAAGTTACCTGTGCTAGGCCTGAAATATACTACCTGTAGTAAAGCATGTCATGCTTCACTTATCTTCCATGATCCACTTATAAAGCATGAATGACCTAAATGTTAAACCAATGTGTGATGACTTTACTAAAACGTGTAATCACTATGGGTTAGTGGGTCTGGCGTATATTCACTTTGAAATTCATTCACATCCTTAAACACTAAATCACAAGTAAGTGTGAGTTTGCATGTTAGTAAACAACAGAAATACACCTACGTCATTATCTATTTCCTTCCCATGATTGACATAATAAAAGTTATTCAATAAAATGGAATTATCAACAATGATTTACTCAGTCGAGTCAACATCCTTAACTGGAACAAGTCACTCTATCCAGGCATCATTTTATCACTTTATTAACACACAATGTTGCTATTGGCCGGTACTTGAACGATCAGAGAAAAAAAAAGAATAAAATCAATAAGAAAACAGATCTAGTTCTGGACCATTTGGCGGGAGAGGTGAAATTAGGCTTCCTGTAATTAAGTACTGACGTGTGCTATATATATAAAACAAAGAATCAATATACATAAGTATAAGGATGGTATAGTAATGGCGTGATTCTGGATCATACGATATGTGTATCAGGCGCTATTTACATCATATCTAATTGGAGCACATGCTGTATGAAGGTATCACACCGGTAATTGACCAATCAAAATGAACTTAGTCAATTGTAGTTCCATACATATAAAATTAATTTTTCTTTCTTTTGATAATTTTTTTAATTTTCTTCCAGGCTATTTTTACAACTTTGGTACCTGTGCCTAGTAAATTTAATGTACTTTGTAAATAAATACAGTTTTTTGACAGGAACTATTTTTTTCAGGGCATAGGAGGCTACTTCCTGGGGTGCACTGGAGCTGTTTATAAACACATTGAAAACACGTGGATTTGAGGGTAGCCCTGTTTGCAGATGGAAAAAATCAGAAAATGCCGTGTAGGTACCCTGTTTTTTGGACTCGGCTAATGAGAGAGGTAATGTTTTATACTTCCTGCTAAATATTTTTTCATGAATTAATTTACCTGATTTTTTAAGAATTTTTTTCCTATATAGAAACATATAGTGAAAACAATTACCGGTGTGATACCTTGAAGGAGATTGTGTAAAATCATCTGCATCAATATAAAAGGTTGTTTTAATTTTTAAAAGGCATATTTCAACAAAATATGTCATTTTATGAACTTTCTGTGTGAAAGCACATATTTTAAAAATTAGAAGTAGGGTTGAATTGAATTTTTAGAGATTTCTGTGAAAAATACTTATAATATATCATGTTTTACCCTCAAAACTTTAAATTATGACTTTCAAAGTAGGATTATGCATCTGACATGTAGAAAGAAGTTAGAAAATGTTGGTTTTTTATTTTAGATGACTTTAAACTATGTGCACCACCTGACCACAGTCAATTATAGTGTCTACAGACTTTGCCGTAAAAGTACTCTAGGCTGATTTTTTCAAGAAAAGACTAATTCTGGGTTTGCCAATGAGTTTTCCACAAAAGTGACAACTGCGATAAAATGTGAAGGAGTAAAACATTTTTTCACAGAGTGATAAATTTTACAGAGAGTGGATTTACTTTCATTTTATTCACCTGAAGTGATGCATGTATTACAGCAGTGGAGGAATATAAATAATGAAATGAGGTAAATTTGTCTAATAAAAAAAATGCACAAGTAAAATTTATTTAGAATTTTTCAAAAATAAGAAGCTTATGACCAAAAAATGCATAAATACTGTCAGGGCATGAGAGTGAATACTTATTCAGAGTTCTAATCATGTAGCACACATGTAGTACAGAATGTCACTTAGCACCATGGTATGCCTGTTATGGTTCTCTGGACTTTTTGCATGCTTACGCAGCTGACATCCATGATTTTTCAGTTTGTCGGAGAATGTGTTTTGTCATGTTAGCACTTTTATGTAGGTTTTGACCCTCTCTTTTAAATTAAGTCTCAGTCAGGATGCTTATTTCAGCATGATTTGTTAAGCATATTAATATACTGAAATATTAATAAATTACAAATTAAAGTGATGAAGAAATTTGACATATTTACACAATCAAAATATCAGAATAACCATAATTCAGCTAATAAAGTGTCCTGTTTTTCTTATGTCACTTCCTATAAATTTTATCAGCAGTTTTTGTACACCCACCCACCCCCAAGAACCATGTAGGATGGCCTGATATTAGTCTTTTTGTTGCATTTTTTCACATTTGAAAGTGTTAAAACTCATAAAAATGTTTAAGATTTATATTTTGGAATTTAAATGTTGAATTTTTATGTAAATTTGGTGAAACAAAAAGCTGTAATCTTGAATTAATCATGCAAATTCATCAAACACCTTTGGAATTCCTGAGTAATTCAATGAAAAGAGGATAATTATGCATGTTCAATTGGAATTTCATGGCTAATTTGTGTCTGCAGAGAAAGCCAGTTACATAAATCCAAACAATAAATTACATCTGAATTGTTTCCTCCATTTTCTTATCATCAAAGCAAGTTTAATGGAGTGTCAGAGCTGTCCAGATTCTCCCTAGGTGCTGATATCATTTGGACTGCCCTGTGTTACAACACAGCTTTTAGATAAACTTCTGCACATCAGCTTGTAGACAAGTACCTAGGCTTTATTTGGAACATAAATTGACCAGATGCAGATTTTATTATCAGTCTAATATTTAACAATTTCTGTGAATTCTGTCATTCTTAGGAGGGCAAAATGCAATTTTGTTATGTAATAATTGCATAATGGTCTCAGACTTGTGAACTATTTTTTGTTTGTTGTGAAGAACAATGTATATACTCTCCACGGATAAGAAATTGTTTGCCAGACTTAGTCTATTAATGATGAAATTCTGCTTCAAAATATGCACAAAAAAACTTCTGTCAGAGTGCTCTGTGTGTATTCTTGACTGCTCTGGAGTAAGGGAGATAAATGCATATATCTCCAGCAATAAGGGGAATTAGATCACCAAACTTAAGGATGTTGGTGGCAGTTATTTAAGAAATCTCAGGTGCAAAAATGAAAAAAATCTGACAACTTCAAGGGTCCTTCAAGGTATCACACCGGTAATTGACCAATCAAAATGAACTTAGTCAATTGTAGTTCCATACATATAAAATTAATTTTTCTTTCTTTTGATAATTTTTTTAATTTTCTTCCAGG